ATATTGAAGAAAACATTGATCTTTTACCTTACAGTACCCCTCTTGTACACATGCGGCCTGATATAAAACACAGGTGTGAGGCACTTCTCAGTGCATTTGTTCCGGGCGCCGTGTCTCACTTTCCAGTGGAGACAGAAGTGCAGGCTTGTCATTTTGCACAGAACACTCATGTTACTTCTCTGAAAAAAATAGGCCTACATCTTTTAGTTGACTTAATGACTTAATGACTTCCAATACATCGAAAGGGAATTCAAACAATTTAGTCATGCAGAGCCATTCCATCCAAAGAGGGGTAACCTCTTTTAATTTTAATAAATCCCTTAGGGAGTTCTGTTCTCGTTCCAGCACCTAATTCCTGGTATGTCCCGTTTAGTATGTCAGTTCCCCTGCAGTCCGTGCCGTAGTCAGTCAACTGTGGTTGGCAGGAACACTAGAAGGACAGCACAGCCTTGACTGGGCCTTTGGCACCGTGCCCTCACCATAAACACCTCAGTGCAACCACCTGCAGTGCGGGGCACATCACAGGAGAGGGTTTACGAGCAGATACATAGCTTTGTCTCTCTCCTCAAGCCATGTGTGTGGAGGTTTGTGATGGTAACTGCTGGATGTGCTAATACAGGTCAAGAGCGTAACTAAGCCTAATACGATAAAGTGAACAACCTTCAGACTCTCTGCTGTTTTAGTATTTAAGATAATATGGGCTTCATTCAGTCTTTTTGAACTACCGTGTAAATGTCCTGTTTATGAGCCATTTTATCAGCAGTACATATAGACAAGTTCTTTAAAAAGTCTCTGTTAAAGACATGTGTGAGGCTGTCATGTCATGGTGTTACATAAATCATGAAGTAACATTACTGCTTCCTTTGTGTTGTCAGCCCGCTGATGCTCTTACTATAATCAGCTATTCCCTATTCGAAAGCTAGTGCTGCAAACTAAACCAAACAAAGTTTTTGATGCTTGAGAAGAAAAAAAAACATGTTTAGACCTTTTGGTGAAAATAACATATGAACAATTGGTTATATGTTGTATTTTTGTGAAAAGTCAGAAGTACTCACATGTTGTGTTTGCACCTGTTGGCCTTCTGCTCTGGTCTCTGCAGCTGCATAGTGTGTCTGTGCACCTGCATGTGTACGGTCATGCGTGTGGAGGGGGCAGTGTGTCTGTTTGACAAATATCAATCCCATATACCATGCATGCAATGTGAACATGTCTGTGGTCGTCATCTACAAGAGTAGGCGGGGTCTGTACACTTCTAGGAGGCGCCTTAACATACATCCAAGCATCTACCACACCTTTTTAAGGAAAAAACATATATCCTGCGCTCCAATGACAAGCGACTGTCCACCCCCTGGTCCTATTGGCAACTGTTCTGTCCCACACGTGTCCTTACCAGCAGCCCCTAAACCTCCATCCTGTCTATAAGGTATATAAGACTGTATAGTCTCTCACTGTACAGCCGACAGCCATTCATCACACTTGAGATAGCAAGTAGCATCAGACTGAGAAAAGGTTAAACAAACCAAGATGCCCACTACCAACAGAATTATTTCTGACTCCACCAAGTCTGTCAAAGGTAATGTTAATTGTATAACATTATAACAGTTGGATTGCCATTTTTAAGGAGAAGTAAATGTCTGCATGCATCTACAACTAAGCAGTTTGTGCAAAAAGGGAAATTATCTTTCTTTCTGAGGGTTGTGCTTGTTTGTATGTTCGAAAGCCTGTTCCTGGATTTGATTTTCCTTTTTGAAATGTTTTATTTGAAAATACATGTGTGATACAGAATTTTAAATGATAATTGTGTTATTAACTGATTTGTCTTTTAACAAATTATTTTCAATGTCTGTTTGATATTTAACTAAATTAATTATTTGTAGTGTTGTTTTTCTTATGGCAAATAACAGGCCTCCTTTACACAGGCCTCTGGAGAGGCTTCCTGCAGCTAAAAAGCTTTGTGGTATCAGGTTGTAATGAGTCTAGACAAAGTGGTTATTTTCATCTCCTTGTTCTAAATCCAGACAGATGGCTTAACATTCTCTGTCAGATAAATATCAGCTCATTTGTGCAGGATTTGTATTGAAAAAATGTGCTAATGATGACAAGTAGATTTAGGAGACACATGGTACAAGAATGTAGCCTCCCGTTGATCTTGTACCTCTGTAAACTAAACAATGTGTCCTAGGCCTTTGCCTTTGACAGGTTCTACCCTCTTATGATGGAAGATGGGTTAAAACTGTTGGGACATATGGAGCTTATTTTGGGGGGATGAAAACACATTACTTAACATCCACTGACATTGACATCTTAATGCTTTGGGATCAGCAATTTGATACTATAGTATTAGTTACTGAAATTACAAGGCAAAGCTAGCTGTGTGAATCATACAAAGACATCAGTGTTTATTTGGGAACCAACATCAAAGTCATTTTTCAGATTTTAAATGACTACCTCTAAATAAAACCTAGCTCTAACTTTTCAGATATATTGAAGCTGATGCTTGATTGCATCCTCACCCACTAAAGTGTGTGCTTGTCCATGCTCCGATGTCCTGTCACGCTAATAGAGTGTGTGACTGGAGCCAATGCAGCAACATGTGAGGTGTCTTGGTAATTCCAACCTCTTGGCATGAATCGGCCATTGGCTCCAGGAAGTATGTGGTGATGATCTGACAGAGGCAGATGGTTTTCCAAATATACCTCGTTTTCTGAAGCCCACTTCATCACCTAACACACACTGTTGCATATAGTATATCTATGTGCTTGCTCTGTATGCTCTGTTATATTTTGGTATGTTGTATCAACAGTTTTTTTTTTACTTATAGGCAAAAAGTCCAAATCTGGAAACACAGAAGCAGGTAAAATGACCTTAACAACTATTACCAGGTCTTGATGTTTGTAGCTATTTCATGAATGCATATTGCAGTCTTTAGCTTGTTCGTCACACCATTTGATTCCTCTGACCTTCACTTTGTGTCAACCCTTAGAGAAAACCCCCCCTTATGATCCGAACATCCCAGAGCCTAAATGCAGAGCGGACCTTGTCAAATGTAAAAATAACTTGCAAATAATTAATAATGAGATATATTGTTACATACTTAATCATGAAAAAAAAGTTTGAAAATTGTTTCTTTTTACTCTTTTACTCTTTTAGACTGGCATAACCTTTCCCTCGATGACAAGACAGCAAATAAGACTCTGTGGATAACAGAAGGAGGTGCAAAAGTAGCTCGTAAAACCGATGATGTCACTTGTCCAGTCTTAGATCGCCCAGAGAGATATGAGTATGCCCCACAGGTATTTCATTTAGTCCTAATGTCATCACAAGTTAAGCTGCTATAGATTGGTGCTGTGCATTATTTTTGTTTTGTGTGTCATCTATTATCCTCAGTGATAAAATTAGAGAGTGCAAGGGTTAGTCACTTTTGATCTAGCCATAAAGCTGTAAAGCCATCCAGGCGACTGTCTTGGTGTTTGTTTTAAATCATTCCAATGCCAAAAATCTTGGCATTGCAACACAGACAAAGTCAGGCTGTTCCAAATTCTTCTCGGTGTCTGAGGCTATAAATCAAATCTTGTGTCATCTTCGTACAGGTTCTGTGCAAGGAGGGAGTCCTGGGCTTTCGAGGGTACTGGGAGGTGGAGTTTTCTGGATGGGTTGTGGTCGGAGTGGCCTATGAGCGGGCTGGACGGAGGAACACAGATGGTCCGTGTGGATTTGGAGAGAATGAGGAATCCTGGGGTTTGGGCTGGAGTGGCTCCAGTTATCATGCTTGGCACAACGGTCAGAGCAAAGAGATCATGGATATCCCAAAATCCTCCACAATTGGGGTCTACCTTGACCAGCCTGCTGGAATCCTCAACTTTTACGCTGTGGAAGAAGTGACGGAGGGAGAGGAAAGCACAGGAGCGAAGGAGGTGAAACTTCTGCAGCACATCAATGGCACATTCAGTGAGAAAATGCTGCCAGGCTTCTGGGTGGGAACACAGTCTCACCTTTTAATTCTGAAGAATGAGGAATAATGGACTCAGTGTTCAACACAAAAATCAATTTTATCGGTTACAATGTAAACACAAATGTTAACAGAAAACACATTTGTGCTAATATGCTAATATTCCATTTCAGTTCAGATTTTCCTAATGGTTGCACACTATTCCTTACATACATGCAGTAGATATGCCACATTTAGATAAGGGAGCAGTGCAAGAAGGAATTCAAATGGATTCCTGTTCCAGTTTTTTGGGCTTTTCTGAAAACCCCGGACCATTCTATACCGATTGTTTGTTTTTGTTACTGAATGTGTATTCCTCTTTTTGTTTGATAACATTTATAAATATATTAGTTTGTTGTTTAATGTATACAGTATATAAGACACTTAATAAATATTAAATGGTGAGCAAAATAGACTTGTGTTGGTCAGGTTTTATTTCATTACAGAAGTTGTCCAAAACTGAGTCAGTGAAACATTGGGGGTGGAACCGCTGAAATCATCAAGTGTTCTTTAATAATGGTTTAACTCTCAAAAACTATTTGCTGCAGAGTTATTCAGTTTTGCTTTACTAATTGTCCATTTGATGAGGACACAATTCAAATCCTATTTCTGTGGTAGCTGTCTTACTAATGAACATTGACAGACGTATTGCTTGTTATAGATCACTTTTAGTCTCATGGTGAAACGTCTGATGTGTTTTTGCTTCCTCTTGGTCCTGCGTTGACAACAGTGACATTACTCTCAGCACTGTTTCCTTCCCCGCTTTCACTTTTTTAAACAGACTTCTAAAGTTCCCCCAGTGTCAGGTATCTGTCCTCTCCTCTGTCCATCCATATGTCAAAGTCAAGTACATACTTATCCTCTTTGACCTCCTGTTGAGAACCCAATTCCACTGACCTCCACCCATGGATCCTTGCCTTCACCCCGCCTTAAGAGCCTCACATCCCATTTTTGACTTGCGTTATAAAAGGCACTGTGGCCAAGAACAGTGCCTGCTTTGCGTTATGAAATGGTTTTGAAGTCTTGAACAAATACAGCGTCGCCATACAGCCTCAAGATGCCTGCTAGGCCCAAACCCACAAAGATCTTCTCAGAAAATGGCAAACAAGGTAAACCACTAAATTTTGAATCTTTTTTAACTGAGCTGGGTGTTCAAAGTGTGTGTTTATCTGCCACCATAGTCCAAGTCCATAGTCCAGTGTTCATACTACATTTTCAAGTAATATTTATTTATTTTTTCTGTTACCAACTTTGGAAAAATGTTAAGTGATGAAATCACTTAATCGCTTAGAGGTAATTTAAAATGAAATTAAATTTATTAATGTATTTATTTTTTAGGCAAAAAATCAAGCAAAACAAAAGGTGAGTTATTTTTTTAGTTTTGTCATTTTCACATTGGCCTTCCTTATATACTGTTTTTGCTTTGAAGAAAATACCCCTGTTTATGATCCAAATGCCCCTGAACCCACCTGCAGAGCAGAGCTCACAAAGTGTACGTACATACTAGTTTTTGTTTGACAGTGCTAAATCAGTCAAGTTACAATTTACTTTCACATGTTTTCAAACTTAAGATTGGATTTCCCTAACTTTTGATGACAAGACAGCCAACAAACTGTTGTGGATTTCGGATGGTGACTCTAAAGTGTGTCGAAGGACCAAAGAAGTTTGTCCAGTCCTGGATCGACCTGAGAGATATGAGCTCTCACCGCAGGTTAAAAAAAGGGCTGAAGAATGCTGCAAGTTGTGAATGTTGTTAGACAAATAAATTCTTTCTAAATGTCTGTTTGAAGGTCCTGTGCAAAGAGGGGATCTGGAACATGAGAGTGTACTGGGAAGTAGAGTACTCTGGCTGGGTCTTCATTGGAGCAACGTATGAAGGAGCAGCACGGAGGGCCGATTCTGGGCCTAGTGGACTGGGTGAAAACGAAGAGTCATGGGGTCTGTGCTGGTCAGGCTCATGTTATGAAGTCTGGTTTAATGGTGTAAGCACAGAAATCAAAAACGTTCAGTTTTGCCCCATCATTGGTGTCTATATTGACCAGCCCGCTGGTGTCATATGCTTTTATATGGTGAGTGGACAGGGGGATGAAAAGGAGGCCACTCTACTATACAGATTTCAGACCCCCATAGAGAAAAAAATCCTCCCAGGTTTTTGGATAGGAGTCCAGTCAGCTTGTACACTTCTTAAAAAACCATTACAGGCAGACGTTTAAACCATCAAATTGAATCAATTTTGCCACATTCATTTTTAATTAATTAAGTTAGTTAATCTCAGGTCGCCTCCAAAAATGATATGTTCCCTTTTATGTATGTATTTAATTTATTTATCTTGAGTGAGAATACTGTATATCTGTATGCATATCTATATGATCTTGAATAAACTATATTTCTTGTATGTAGGAGTTCACTGATTAGGATTTATGCTGGTTTAAGTGTGAATATGTCATTAGATAATCAGATTTTATTGTTCTTATGTGTGGTAGGCCTGTGTGACACACTACAGCACTGCAATGGTTGTGATCACTGCTTGATTATTGATCCCATATGGATTTGCCTGAGTGGGAGTCACTCCCCTGTGGTTCAAGGGTGAATTTTGGTATGTGAGAGGCCCCAGGCAGAGATCACTCTCCTCCTTTGACAGGTGGGCGTCAGCTTCTTCACACCTAAAGTCAGAGCTTTACAAGACCTAAAAGTGTGTGGCTAGAGGGGGAGTGTGGACATACACAAACGAGCCGTCTCACTAGAGGCCCAGTATAGCACGAAGCTCCGTTTAACAAGTGGTAAGAGCTACAGTGATAAACAACACGCATGACAGGAATCATGGTGGTACATGCCTTTGACGTTTCTGTCCATACAGTAGCCTGGTCTGAAACAAAAGACACTACTTACATAGATGTTAACCTTATTATGTAAGACCAAAAGCTGTTCAAGTGAATTTTACCAATTCAGCCTTTGTAAGTAGGCTAAGGATCTATTCTAGGTTAAAGTTATAAGAACTTGCAGGTTTGATAGTTGAACTATTTTAAACCAGGTTTATCAAAACTGATAATTATGTTAGTGATTGTTACGCAGAGATAAAAAAAAAATAAATCACAATGGGGGGCCATGAAGTCATAGGCCATAGCATGGCTTCTCTAATGAGTGAGCAGGCCTGCTTTACAGTCTCGCCTTAGCGCCTAAACTCTGTGACAAATTATGATCTAATGCAGAGCAAACAGCACGAGGGGACAGCCTCGTCCGAGAATAAACTTCTCGGTGGCCGACATGTTAGTTTGGGCATGTGTTGACTTTATGCCAGGCATGTAGAGGAGTGGTAACCCAAGCGTGCGTCTGGGCCTGAGCATTATACTCTATAAGTAACACACGTATAGCATGACAAACGGAGCGGGTGGAAGGTGCGAGAAGAAGGCGGTGGTTCATATTTATGATGCAGCGAAGACTGGGCAGATTCATGGACCAAGTTAATACGCATTTGACTCTGTTTCTGGTGATAACCTTACATGACTCAAGAACGAAAGCAAATCGCTTTTCCATTCTATCCACAGGTTCTCGCTTGGGATAATTTATGAGCCTAATGTGAATGGTTGTTCAACAGCTTGATGACTTGTGTTCAGAGGGTGCTTCTAAATTACATCGTCTTATGATGTTATTCCCATCTGCTGCCGCGACGTCCTATTGATGATATGCGACTCTCGTTTATTCTGACACTATTGGTCCCAGCAGATTTACTGTCGTGTAGTTACTGGCGCGCGTTCAAGATGTCTGCGGTTCTCAGCAGCCTGATGAGGGTAAAATAGTCCATCCCTTTCAAACATCCTTAAGCCTTTTTTCTTTTACTTTTACTGCCTGTGTTATAAAGGATACACAAGGCATGTTAAGGCCATAATATTAATTATTGTTAAAGTATGCGGTAGCCTGAAAGCGGTAGTGGGAAGCCAACTGCATGATTCCATGGATATAGATACGTTTTATGCCATACTGGGGAATATTACAGCCAAAGGAATAGAATTTCCACGTAAACAAGCAGGAGACCCAAATAAGAGAAATGTGTCGTGGAGACAGAGTAGTAGCACCACTAGACCATAGACACCCTAGACTAAGAACGCATGATTGTTCTCTTTTTCAGTGCATTAAAATCATTCACAACGAAAAACGTGCCTTTATTTTGGTGTATTTTGTGTTTACTGAATTATATTATTATTAGGGGTGTCAAATTATCGCGTTAATTGCGATTAATTAATTACAGTCATATTTAGCGCGTTATGTTTTTCAATCGCGTTAATCTCATTTTTAATCTCTAACTTTAGTGTTTCTGTATGCGAGTTGCTTTATTATAAAACCTGTTTTTATGTGTTGTTGGGACAACAACACACACACGCACAAACAAAAAACACATTTATACATTTTTTAATTTCGGCAATTCCACTCATTGTCGGAAACCCACACAAAACACGCGCAGTAAGAGCGACGTTTACGGCGTCAGTCGCACAATGGACGAGGTCGAAGAGCCAGTAGAACAGAGGCAGCAGCGCACAGGTAAAAACACATTCGTGTCTTGGAAATTATTCTCCCGACGTGAAATATAAAAGAAAATAACAAATATAAAATCGCCTACAACTTAAATGTCACTGGTGAAAACAACCTGCATAGGCTCATGATGTCTGCACTACTGTCCTATAGTGACCTGCCACATGAGGGGACACACACACAAACACACACAAACACACACACACACACCTTCATCATCGTCATTAACCTGAGAACGCGCGGACCACGTTTCCTTCCGTAGTTACTGCGCGGACACCGACGTGCTGCCGTGAGCCACGTGTGGATCGTGTTTTCTCGCGTACGCTGCGTAAACCGCGCTTCCTCCTCTGCGCCTCTAAACCAGAAGTAACACCAAGACTAAAACCAGGACTAAACCAGGACTAAACCAGAACTAACACCAAGACTAAAACCAGGACTAAACCAGGACTAAACCAGAACTAAAACTAGAACTAAAACCAGGACTAAACCAGGACTAAACCAGAACTAACACCAGGACTAAAACCAGGATTAATCCATTCCAGGACTAAACTAGGACTAAAGTAGGACTAAAGCAGGTCTAAACCAGGACTAAAACCAGTGATCTCATATATAAAGCATTTCTCTATCAATAATATTTTTAATATGGTTAAGGAAAGACTGGACTTTTTATTGTCTTTAGACAAAAGTTATTATGTTCAGATTTCCTCGTCTTTGCTACTTTACAGCAAACAGTTTCTTATTCATGGAGACTTGGGCTCAACAGCCAATTTGGAGAGATTTGTTAAACAATAAATGACTTTATAAAGTCACTTTTTTTGTTCTATATCAGTCTTTTGATCTGCCACAATATTGTAATAATGAATTTAAATGAAAATACCTCAAATTGAAGGCTTTTCTCAGCAATTTTTAGGTGAGATTAAAATGAGATTAATTAGATTGATTAATTACAGATCATAATTAATTAATCTCTCTTTTAATCTTTTAATCGCATGACAGCACTAATTATTATCAGAATATTTAACTTAAAATATTCTGCAAAAGGGCCAAACAAAAGTCATATGGCCGAAAGAAGGCCATATCCTGCTTGTTCCTTTGAGTAATATTTCACAGAATAGATGAAAATCTATCTCTATGGAATATCTTCATAAGTATGAGTTTTAATTTGACGTGCCACCTCCAGAAAATTGCATAGGCTATTGCAACAGTGCAAATATAAACATTTCCGTGGTCTTTATTTTACATCTGTTTATTCAAGTCTGCATTATATATAACAGGGGTCTCCAACCTTTTTCCTCTGGTTAGCTCCTTTCCAAATAGAAAATGCAAGAGAACCACTCATTTGAGGAAATTGGAAATTGAAATTGAGGAAGTATAGAGCCATGGCAAATCTTAGAAAGGGCACAGTTAGATATCTATAAAACAAACCATTATCCATTTAATAGTGCACAAGTTGGTCATCAAAGGCATCAAAATGACATATTTACAGTGGTAAATAATCTGATTACTGTATAGTTATTAAGCACAATAGGTATAATTTAGAAGCTTCGAGCCACGTGGAGGAAGGTGGAGAGCAACAAGTTGGAGACCCCTGATATAAACAGTCTAATGTCAAAGCTCTAAGGAGCCTGTTATGCTGTGTATCAGTGTGTTTACTAATGTAGGGTATTCTTGTCAAAGAGCTCCCTCTACTGATTATGTAGCGTTCTAGCACCTTGAACCACATAGAAAATTACAGTGATTCAGTGCAATTCACAAAATGGTATTTAAGTATCTATTTAAGTTTCACATTTTTATGTATGCCTATTTATTTTTTCTTCTAGATGCATTGAAGTCAGTGATTGAGATATTCACATAGGAATTTGGGAAGAGGAACATTAGTACCAACCTTACTGATAAATCCTCCTCACTAAAAGGTCAGCCACTAATGCTTCTCTGTCCACAGCTGTATGGTTTTAGTGTAGAGTTGCATGTACTGTATCATCTAATTCAGTGGTTCCCAAAATGAGGAACTACAGGCATTGGACCAAGATTTTGGGAATGGCTGATCTAATCTATAAAATTTCATTTAAAATGTATGCAGCAACAGCTGCTCTAACATTTTTGTAACATAATACAAAATGTGATACAGAATATTAAGTAATTGACCCTTAATTTCCTGCATTTCTTTGCTTGTTTTCTTTGGGAATTATTAGCCAAAGAACTCCCAAGTCCTATAAGCCGCCTGACTGTCACACTTGCGCACTGTAACAGGAGAACTTAAGTAACTGTGCACCTGTCAGTCAACAGGCTGGTTCTGTGAGGACTAAAAGTGAAGCCCATAAAGCTCTGCAGTTTCTCTCGTCAGCCTCTGTGAGAACGGGACAACTCCAGGTTTAGGGTCATGACCCCATCACAAATAAATGAGCTGGACACGTGAGTTGCTAATTTTAAAATGGCATTGTTAGCACTGAAGAGCTTATCCGATGCCTGGGCCTTTTGTGGTGGGAGGATCATCAGCTGCTGTTACAATATTGGCAATACAAAATTTTCAATTTGGATCAGTGATTTCAGCATTCTTTCATAAAACCGATGGACACTGCAGCTCCAATCAGTGCATGCTTTCATGTGTCCTTGGTCAAGACACTTCAGCTTACCTTGGTCCCGTATGAATGGGGTTTGTGAGTGAGTGATATTTTGTATTACCAGAGAGTGTGCAGAGTGAATGAATAATAATAAATTGACTTTTTTTCATTTACATATTGGAATTTGGCCAATACATATATTTTGTTGTGTTAACTCCAAAAAATTTTGGCAGATCTTTTATTCGGCAAAGGTACGTTTTGTTTGCTTTATGATTTTATGGTGTGAGAGAGGCCTTTGGTTTGAGAGTCCATACTCCTGCTCCTTATCATACACTTCAAGCTTATCAAAAGCACTTAAAATACTTGTGACACTTTCTCTCTCTTGTGCCAGCTCTCCTGAGACCTAATACCATTTGTTTTCAAGACTTATAATTGTGTTTTATTTGTTTTTTCTGGAGCTTTCTTGATCCTGGAGTAGATAATCTTTTTGTCCTGTAGACACATTCAGCCATATCTATTATTTCTATTATGAGAATTTGGGGTAGACGCTGAGTCAGTGGAGCCAAAATTCCTGTTTGAGTGTGTCAACTGGGTCTTTGTCAGAGCTTTAGTGGGGTCTTTACATCTAGGCAAGCTGTTTTTAGCATAATACATAATGTGTTTCTGATCCTTTCTTTCATCAGCAGAATATCCATTTGGAGGTAGAGAGCCAGAAACAGAAGTGGTAAAAGTGATTCTGTAACCAGGACTTTTACTTATTATTTTTGCATAGTTCTTTGCTTACATTCTGTCTTATGTAGACATATTATAAGGCACATTTGACAAGCATGAGTGGACCGGGAACAAAAAAGAGAAGATGTCAGGGGCCGGGTGAGAGGGAGGGCCACTGGAGGAGGAAGAAGGAGCTCTGTGTGCAAAGATGCGGGCGTCATGAGGGACAGTGGTTGTGACAAAGCGGCAAATCCTCACAAGAGACCAGAAGAAGCACAGAAGAAGAGTCCATGGTTTTTGGAGCCTTTAGTGTGCAGTTGGAAAGATGCTGATCTCACCAGTGCCAAGCGATGCAGCCTGATACCACCCCCAACAGGAGGGCACCATTGGTCAGGTACAGCAATATGGCAGCTTCACTATGATTATTTTTAGCCTGATTTGTTTATGCCCACTGTTTTTTAAAACGTGTAAACAGACAAAATATTATTGTTCTTTAAGCTGTATTGAAACTCACTTAATTAGAACTTACTCTGGATACAAATGATTTTTATTATGTGTATTTAATGGCAACACTAATCCCATTGCCTCAAATTCTGTTTTACAAACAATACAAGAAACCAGACTGAATAAATGTTTTGATGTTCAAGTTATGAAAATTATATTAATGACAGAAAATTATGTCTTCATTTAAACAAGAAATAGGTGAGTTAGGCTCAGTTGTACATTGCTAACTGTTTTGATATCAGAATGCCACAAGCCTATAGGATACCTGTATGTTTTTGTTTGCTGAAGTCTTGATGTATTGAACATAGTTGATGGTGCACATGATGCAAATCTTATAGGTGCCACAAAGCGCACTCTGTGTGGTGCACAGACCCGCTGTTTGTCCTCCCTACTTCGCTCTTTAGCATTTTAATTCCACTCCTCCCCAAAGTCACTGATTAGAAGGAGATTTTTGAAATATTTCACAACGCCCACATTAGTGCAGTGGCTGTGAGGATGTTGTCTCTTCTCTCTTCACTCACAAAGCGCTGATTGTGTGGTTTATGAGACTGTGGTGGATGCTAACAAAGACTGTGCATGTCAAAGGTCTGGGTCACCCACGAGTGCATGTAGAACATCAGTTAGACCAGTGATGTATTCAAATCTTTATCTGATTACTCGAGTATGAGGCGAAACAATAACTGTACAATGTCAATGTAAACAGACAATGAACTGGGAGCCCTTTATCTGACTAGGGCCACAATACACAAACTCTAAAACATGACGTGAAATGAGGAAAAAACACTCCTCGCTGTCCGATTATTTAACAGTTAATAAAAAATAGAATATTGACAGTTTAATTCATTTGAAAAATAATTGTCAGCTGCATTCTCAAAAAATATGTTGTTCATATTACCTAAATTATATAATTTCTATTATTTGAAATCATTAGCACACTAGTGGTCTTTGTATTCTGTCGGTTTCCCACTATATTATTGCAGGTCGGTATCGGAGGTGCAGGTGTACAAACATGTGACACTGCACCACATATGCTGCTAAATTCTTTGGCAGGCCATATGTTCTTTTAGCTCAAGTCCCACACTCAGTAAAATACATCATCACTTCACTTTAACATATATACCCCAATTCATCTTAATTCAACTTGTTTTGCTTGTAGCTCTTTTTATTTTGTAGCTACAGGATACATTCTAAATCTCATCCTCTCACATATAGCCCTTCCTGCTGCTGCCATATTGGTTTTCACACACACGTTTTTTCTTGGCCCCTCCCTGCCACCATGGCGACGCAGCTGTCACCTGTCAGTTTGGGCAGCAGGGATGCGCTCAGCCTGTTTATAGCACAGGATAGCATGGTTCCTAGAGTTGAACTGGAACAGTGGAGAAATAAGTTTCTTTGTAGAAATTGTAGAAAGAGTTGGGAAGAAAACTCTCAGCTACATTATTTGGAAATGTGGATTACTTTAGAGTAAAGTTACTTAGTAATACTTACTAAGCAGTTTACTTCACTGACAGAGAGAAACCCGGGTTCAAGCTAGACTGGTAAGGCCTTAGCCATATTCACTATTAGCTTCTACAGTTTGTGGTTTCATTTCTATGTATGGAGTGCATGTTTGCATGTTGCTTTCTATGTAGATAAAATAGCACTAAGTGTAGTAATAAAGTATAATTATTTTTATGTCATTGGCATGTTTAGAAGACTGCTTACCCGTAGTAGGCCCTGGATTCCACTGGAGGTTTCTAGTGGTAGTAATACTACATAGAGAGTTGCTGCATATCGTATAGTAGAGTAGAGAGTTAATGTCTGAGCTGTATAGTAATATATGTATTTCGACTATAGAGCATTTTATGTGTACATATATGCTTTATGTAGCAAGTGACAATTGTTGTATAGTGAAATAATTTTCTCTTCAAAGAATGGAGGACCAGGATAGAGTTAGCCAAGCATCAAGTGTAGCCACCATTTCCTACTTCCCTGTCAAAAAGGTCGGTAAAATCTTACTTATAAAAATTATGAATGTAGACTTAGAGTTGCAATATTTGATCATTTTGTTACTCAATAGGACAGTGACGGAAAAGTTCAAACATTTGGAAAAAGATGCCATTCTGCTAAAAGAGACCCCAACTGTCCCGTTGTGATCAGAGGGTGGCTTTATAAGAAGGTACTTTTGATTTAAACGCACAGGTTTGTGCTCTTGTAAAGTAAACAAAAGACATCCATCTTTTCCTTACAGGACAGCTCAGGTCTAAAGCTGTGGAAGAGGAGATGGTTTGTCCTCTCTGACTATTGTCTCTTTTACTACAAAGGTACAGTATGAACCTCACGTTACAATTACAGTTGCTTTTTGATTGCCTTAATATGAATGATTGTAAAGCAATTCATATTTTAGACAGCAGAGAAGAATCTGTCCTGGGAAGTATCCCACTCCCCAGCTATAAAATACTCTTTTGCACACCACGAGAATGTAAGAATAGGAAATTCACCTTCAAGGTAATTCTTCCCTTATATTTTAACATTTAAGTTTCATTTAGTTTAACACAAAGAAGATAATGAAGACAGAAACAAAGAAAATGGCACATGTACTTTTAAACTAGGTGGTGCACCAGGGCATGCGCTCCTATTTCTTTAGCGCTGACACCCAGGAGGACATGCTGGGATGGGTCCGAGCCCTCACTCAGTCTGCAGCCATGGAGCCAGGCAGCACAATGAACAGGTGCACAACATACTAGTATACTACTAGTATATAGTAACAGTTACATAACATCTTTATTAATACATTTGAAATGTAAATGAGCTTTTTGTTGTTTCAGGCGCTGCTCCAGTTACCAGGATTTCACTCACATGGTGGACAGCAGTGAGTCTGTGGACATGCCCCAGTCCCCATCAGAAGGAGAGGGTCCCCATCAGACCCACCGTCACGTCACCCGAGCCTTGAGTGAACCCGGTCAGCTGAGCGGAGGTCGGATGGGAGCGTCACACTCGGAGCAGAGGGGAAGGCGGAGTGTGCGACACAGAAACTGCAGGTTGATAACTGGACACCTCTTTAGCAGTCTTTAATGATGTATAAAATGTCAACACTCTGCTGTCTTGTTCGCACAGCCCTACTACTCGTACTCCCAGCCCTCAGCTCCGCTGCAGCCGCAGACCAGCTCCAATCCAGGGCGACTCTGTGATCTATGTCCCAGTTGAGAACAGTCTCCATGGCTCGGCGGACATCATGGGGACAAGCTCCTTGCCCTCTAGGGCTCAGCTGGGATCAAGACCCCACACACCAGTAGGCCGGGTCGACATCCGGCCTCAGGATGATCCAGCCCTCCTCCCTCACACGTTGTACTATGCCCCTGCTTCACCAAAACTAGAGTTCAAATCCACTCCTACTACACCAGTGACAGAGAGATGGCAAAAGGTGTGAAATGAAATGACACCGAAAGAACTGTTCCTGATTTCTCCCAAGTATTTGGGCAAAATGTGTCTTGCTCCAGTAAAGATATATTGTATAAGAAGTTCTTGACGTGAAAATAAGTGTGCAGTCAGCTAATTACAAACCATTTTATAGTCTGATGATCAGGAAGCATGTTGGCTAGCAGGCTAATTGTTGTTAGCTTTACAGTGATGGCAAAACTCCGCTTTGGTCTTTGAGAGCTGTGAAAAGCTCTTGTAAACTCATCACAGGGAATAATTAGGATGTTCAGAATGCATGAAGCAAGGAAAAAGGAACAGTAAAATCTAGATACAGTGCTTTTAAGTCTTAGTAAAACATTCTCAAATGTTCCAATCTTTTTTTTTTTTAAAGGTAACAACACATTTTTTAAATTCACCTCCACTGTTGTGTCATTGCAGCCTATGAGCACGTATGGATCAGTCCATCTTGTCCCAAATGGAAGAAGACCTTTGGGAAAGGTAAGCATGTCAAAATGAAATCATCAGCATGACTATAGGTATTACAATTTAAGTAGTCATTATAATTTACATGCAAGTAAATTTAATTGAAGGGTTGCTTTTTCACTTCTCTTAGTTACATAAATGCTGTTTCTGCCTTCAGAGCTACTCCACAGGGGCAAATGCAGACTTACTGCCTCCTTTGCCCCCCTCCTCCAGAGCTGCACATGTTTCGCAACCACAACATCACCACCACCATCACCACCATCATCGCAACCATTTATCTGTGTGTGTGCTGCCGCCAGTAATGGTACATGCTCTGCTTTGCGTTCTGTGCGCAGTCTGCTGCCTGTCCTTGTCTGTATATGTATACTGTATGTGTATGTTTTATTGCTCACAACTTTTTGTTGTTATTGTATGATGTTTTGCTGCTTTGATAGCAATATATGGTGTCTTTGTTTGTTTTTGCCATTTGAGCTGATGCAGCCCTAAAGCTGTACAGTGCTATGGACTGCCCAAGCCTAAAAGCAGCTGATGTTGAAAACAAGAAGCAGAATTTCCTGTAAAGTTTTACAGTAGATATTGTCTTCAGAAATGGACAAGGTTTTTCACAATTACTATTTGATGATGTTATGTAATGTATTTGTTGTGTCGTTGTTTTCAGCCCACTAAGCCTGAGCTGAGGGAGTGTCAGCCAATCAGACCTCTGGAAAGTGATGCTGATGTAAGTGTTGACTATGAATATGTTCTGAATGTTACATTGCATCACTATGATGTCCTGTCTTCAGGTTGTTTTGACACGGCTGTGTGGATGTGACAAGCTGCTACAGTCTTTGTCAATGGAGCTGGCCCAGCTACAAATAGATAAGGTCAGCCATTTTGTGGTCATGCTGTGTGACGTTAAGTTTATTCTGGTGCAGAGTTGGTGCAGAGTTGCAGACTATTCCTCTGAAGTTTAAATACGGGTGTTGTTTTACAGGACAGTGTCCACTGTGCTTTAGAAGTGTCACGACTACAGCTGGAGGAGTGGAAGAACCAGGGGCCCCAGGTGTATGAGGAAGTAATTACCCAGAAGGCTTTGCTTCAGGAAGACTTGGTCACGATTCGAGCAAGAATGTGTGATGTATCTCTAGTGAGTAACATTACATGGTCAGAATGTGACACAAAACAGGTCTCTGAGTTTGACGGGCTTGTTGATATTGTAGGAAATGGAGAAAGTGTGGAGCCAGTATGAGAGAATGGAAAGTGAACTGTCTGTAATCCGCTCACATCTTCAGCATATCTGCAATTTTGGAGTGCCAGAGGTTTGTGTTAAAGCACTTAAGCATTCAAATCTTACATGTCTGTACATATTGTGTAATGATAAAAAAGTACTTGTGCCTCCCATCAGGAACAGTCTCATGCCCAAAGAGAGCTGTGGATGATGGAGGACATTCTATCAGGGCTCAAAACCAACAGGGAACACTTCCGCTTCCTTTTGGGAGTACAAAGGCATCACAGTCAGTCTAATGTCACTGACACTCTGAAACATTTGCATACACATTGTAATCAACCTCTCTGTCTCTTCATTAGTGTTTCAGCCAGCATCAGCTCATCCCGGCTCTCCTGTTCCTCTGAGTGAACGACTACAGACTGGATTGCCAATGGTAAACATCATGTCTTCTGTCAAAAAAGCATGCATCCAAACATTGAAGAAAAGTATAATTCCATACTTTGACATGACAATATTGTTGTTTAGGATGTTGATCAAGAACCTCCTGCACGGCCGCCATTACCCCAGGAACTGAGCAATGATCAGGGCTGGACCGAGCTTCCCTATGAGGTATGACAGATTACAAATACAAAAAAAAGTGTATTCAAGTTCAGCACTAGGTCAGTAATCTTGGGTCAGTCTTATGCACAAACCACAACTATTTCCTCCCAGTTAAGACCTAACAGTACTTTGTATTACTTTACTGTTCCCTGCTTATTCCAACCGCAAAGTGCTAAAGGCTCTGTCTGTACCATGTGAAGAACCACATTCACAATAATTAATCTGATTAACATTTGGGTTACAGGGAGTTTACAACCACAATGAACCTATGAAAAGACAAGGAAACAGCCAGCCTGACCTGCTCAATGTGAATTCCCACACAGATGCACCCGGTCAGTGGCTCAGAATACAAAAAATAACAAATATTCTGGTAACAGTATAATACCAATTAGAATTAATCAAGCATTAAGAAAGACTTAATTCATAATGAACAAATAGTTTAAAAGAATAACGGCTTTGTAATTAAGTTAATTAAGTATTTACTAAGCCTGAAATATTCTTAATAAACTATTTGTTCATTATTAATTAAGTTTTTCTTCATGCTTTATTAAGGCTAGTTAAGGTGAAAATGTAACCACTAGGTTTTATGTAAAAATATAATTACTGTATCTTTCTTACCTCTCTATTTTTATATTACTCAATTTCTTAGACTCAAGTACCTCTTCAAAGTGTACCACAGCAGACACCAACAATCATTTAACTAAGGTATGAAGTATTTTGTTGCTGATATACTTTTTTGTTCTTCATTGCAGATATGGCAAAATAGCATAATTAGGGCAGTACATTGTTGTAGTATGTTGCAGTACGCTTTATGCACAGTAGGGGGAGGTAGTGTTCTTGCTGTTACCACCCAGCCCCCTTTTTTCACACTCATAGACAAGCTCACATTATACAATCCTGAAATGAAACAGACAATAGGAAGTACTTTTAGACATATTGCACACACATATGTTTATTCCAGCGCTATTGAGCAGCCATGTTTCTGTTTTGTAAAAAAAAATATGCAGTGTTCATAATTCTGTGATGCATGAGTGGTCCATCACTAATTATTTTTTTTCTCAGAAGAATAGGATGAGTGAAGAGGAGCAAATTGACAGGATGAGGAGGAACAAGCCGAAACTGACAAATAAAAAGAAGCCACAAAGTTTGATGACAAGTGTTCAAAACCAGTCTCAAACTTCAGAAATACATGAGGAGGTAGGAAATTATCATTGTAATAATTTCTTATTTACTGCAATTATGTTTGTACAATTAATCACATTTTAAGATTCATTCATGTCTAATCTTCAATGAGATACTCTGACATACTTCAGATTTTGGAGGAAGAAATTGCACAGTATTTTGCATTAACGGTCCTTCCTATGTGTACTCAAAATTGGTGAGCTTTAAGCCATGTTAGACTGTTGTTACCTCTTCAGATTTCTTTCACATTTGAGGCGTAATCCTTTATTATTAATCTGTCTACATCTCCAAAGCTCAAAAAGCTTCCACCTTGTGATGTCCTGAAGCAGCAGTTTTAAAATTAACAGCTACCTTTTACCTTTAGTTCAGACTGAGACTGAAAATCCCAGGGCTGAGATTGTCCAAATGAAACTAGTGAAGGTGTATGGAGTTAAACAACACAGCACTTCCTGTATTGCCACATGACATCACAAGGTGAAACTGAGTGATTCCTGTTTCAGAGAATAACTTCTTATAAAATATGAATATGCAAGGTTTGTGTGTTAAACATGTGTGAATGAAACAAAACGCAACTCCAGGTATGTTTGTGATGAGAAAACAACATTATTAAAGAGATAGGAACATAGCGTAATACAGGCCCTTTCAATGGCATTAATTAAAAGCCACTGTTGTTTATGTTCACAAAAGTAATATTGAAAGCCATTTTTATTTCTTTTGAAGAAGACTAAATAAATCAAAAATCCTGATCATGATACACTTTTTTGTCATATCACCTAGCCCTAGTAATCATGTACTTATTTTTATATCAACTACAGATGTGTACATGCATCTTCAATTTAATTATATTCACACCTCCTCAGACCCCGTTTCCTTTACGAGTCACGCGAGTGGTCACAGCCATCCTACCATCATCGCTTGTGGCTAGAAAAGTATCTGTTGAAGACCCCCCGCCTGAACTGGACGTACCATTACCAGAACAAGTCCAACAGGAGCCCACTGAAGAGAACAAGGAGCACCCACTAAGAAAAACCAGCAGGCAGCAACACCAGGAAGTAGTCAGGCCCTCAGCACTGGAGCCAGAGCATTCAGCAAACCAAGAGCAGGAAGGATGTGAAATTCAAGCTCCAGAAACCAGGGTATGTATGAATTGTCAGGGTGAACTGTTAGGAGCCCGATCTGGTGAGTATTGATGTAATATCTTCTGCAATAGGAACAGGAGGAGCGAAGCAGTGCCCTTTTGACCCTGGAAGCACACCCTGACCTCTGCCTGACCCCAGAGCAGCGGGAAGCTAAACTGAGACGAGTAGAGCGCATTCGGGAGAGAGTCATACGAAGGTGGGGCCTTTCTGTTCTTCCAGCTATTTATTACTCTATATATTTTATACTTTACTTGCACTATTTACAGTTTTATTATTTACGAAGGTTAATCATAGATCGTCTTTAATGTGTTTAATGTAGACAACAATGCAGTTCAAGCATTTTGTTTTTGTTCGTTTTTATTGCATTCTCTGCAGTGACTATAAAGCACCGTCTTAATAGTTACTTCCTGTCTATTTTAAGTTGTACATCAAATAATCATCCATATAATGTATAGATTTTTTTTTTTACTTTTTGGCAAAATTTACTTGGATTGGTTGATTTTCTATCTTTCAATCTATCAGTGCAGTCAGAGAGAGTTCCTCCAATCAACTTCCAACTCTGTGGAGAGAGGGCCAGGGCGCTTCCCAGGGGAACCATGAAAGCACAAAGAAGCAACGGCAAACAAAAGGTACATGCTCTGTCTGTAATCTGATATTTTCATTTTAATAATTAAGTCTTTATGCGAGAATAACTGGTAGCTGTTTCAGGACGTGAACAAGATGATAAAACCAAAAGTTCCAAGTGTTATAAAGAAGCAACTGCGTGTCAGGACACGGGTGAAATGGATCTTAACAAAAGCAAAAGTCCTTGTGGGAACAAAACATATCTCAAAGAATACAGCGGACGAAAGGGAGTCGCCAAAACCAAACTCAGACGTCCAGCCTCACCGTATCATATCTCATCTTTGACTGTCTACCCGAAAAATGGAAGCGAGGACTTTATGTGTAGCAAAAACAAAGAGGAGCAGAAGCTTGAAGAGGCAGCCACTGGTGATAATGAAAGTAATTTTTCATCCACTGATGTAAGAGCCCAGTGGTTCCTCTCTACGAGCCAGTGGCAGGCCGTTATACCATTGCAGATCTCAGAGACACAGACGCCACATGAGGAGGAGGCGCTGACAGATGTGGACCACCAAGGGGCAGGTTTGGAAGAGTCCAACCAGATGTCTCCTGAAGTCAGTGAAAGCTTGGAGAAGATGAAGCAAAATCATTCACTGTTTTATAAGATTGCGTGTGATATAAGTATTTCAGATTCAGATATTACAAGGAATGATGGGAGTTCAAATATGCAGACTATAACAGAGGAGCTGATGATCACTGAAGATGGGGAAGCACAGATTTCTGATCAACAATGCAATGAACAAAACTCTGTACAAAACACAAATTGTAAGTTAAAAGAAGTTGATGATGAAGAAAATGTACAAAATAACTTTCAAAAACAAGACAGCCAGGTTCCAGACAGTGAATGTAAAAGCATAGAAAGAGATGAGTATACACAGACGAGTAAAGATTCAAACAGTGAGCAGGAAAAGCAGATAAATGTGGATAAAATAGGAGAAGTCAGGAAAAGCAGGAGTTTGGGTGATACTAACAGTGAGAGCAGCAACTGTGAGGGGCAGGCTGAACACTTAAACTGTGGCAGTCTGAATCGCAGTGCCTCTTTTGGAAAGACCAGAGTGACCGTGCTGAGAACAAGTTTGTAAAATAAGATAATGGTTACTTTTGTACTTGGTTATGAATTCTGTGGATTTATTAACGTTAACTTTATATCTATTGTGAAGAAGATGATTAATAAGAATATATCAGATATTCTGTATAAACATCACTGAACCTATCCATTTGTAAAAGCACTTCCACCAGTACTGTCTCTGTACCTCATAGTTAATTAGAAATTATCTGGTTTGAAAGTGAAGTCCAGTCTTGTCTATTTCCACTGGCCCCATTTCAGCACTACATGATCTGACATGATTGTTCCTGTCTACTTCTCCAAACAGAGCTCACTAATGCTGACATCATACAAGTATCAAGCGGACTGTAATTGGAGAATAGGCCATTAAAAGTATGATGAGCAAATCCCTTTCAATGAAACTGAACAAAAAGTTGGTTTCCAAAACAGCACAAGAACAAAGAGTAACTGAGGAGATTGTAGATAAAAAGCTGCAACATTTCCGTAGTATTGGGGTACAAACAGAAAAAGTCTTAAAGAATATTTATATGTAAAGAAACCTCATGCGCTGTCTTTCAGTAACTTTGTGTACTTGTAATTGTAACTTGTAATTAACCCTTTCATTCCTTGTATTGTTTGAATCTTATAAGCAGTTTGTGTAAATGTTAAATGGTGATTTATGGAAAACAAACGTTTGTGTTTTATAATTTGTCATTCATCAATAAACCTGTTGAGTAATGCAGAAATGCTATTGGTTTATTCTGCCTAATAATGGTTTTGCATATCCAGCACAGGCATAGTCTTTATTCCGCTCTGTAAAGGTCCCTTGGGTGATGGAGTACTGCTTTCTGCCTATATTCGGTGCAAAAAACACAAGGCCTTTGTCACTTTAAATCCTCGCCGTGTCTGAGTCGATGACATCATTGTCTGAGAACACATTACATCATCCCTTCCCAGGCCCTCTCTCGCTTAAAGACAGCACCACCTTATGTTGGCTTGCCCTCCTGCACTACCTGAGTTATATCTGCAGATGGGAAACCAATACTCACATGCATATTAATAGCAATCTCGCTCAAATTAATTTGTTTACATGTTGGACATGTTAATGCATGATAATAACTATGTAAATGACCACTTCTAAGCATATGCATGACGGGGTTAGTTATATGGAAGAATATACCAAGACAGAGTTATAACATTGTATTAAAGCTGTATGCTCAACAAACGTAAATAAAATGTATATTTAAAGCCAGCTCCAGTGAAGAAGCAGAATAAGCTATAAAATTTTGTATGCTAATAATTTCGTTTTTTTATTGTTTCCCTAGTTGTAAAAATATATCTGAATAAATTAATCAACCAAAAAATTCAAACAAACTTAAAACAATTTTCAGTTTTAGAATTTCATAATTTCTCACTTAATTAATTTAATCTAAATATTCCATAAATACAGAATATTATCTAAAGGAAAATTGCAGATTTATCATTGCATTTCATTTATCAGCTTTTGATTGGCCTGTACGAGGACGCGCTGGCGTGCGTGTGCGTAAATCACAGAGCTGCGGAGAACGCTGAGAGAATGTTTCTTTAAGACCCATTACCTTCCAATCCGACAGAGGGGGGAGCCCGTGCTAAGGTGGCGTATCATCTCTCTTCGCGTTTTTCACCCCCCTATGCCGTTTACATGTGGAGACGAGCCACGGGGGCAAAAAACAGAGACATCAACGCGCTATCTCCGGTTCGAGCGAGAAGCACCGTGGAACGAACCGCCGAGATGGGCCAGAGGAATTTTTAACATCAAACATGGACACTACGGGCTCCCCGCGATGACTGTGGTAAGGATGCAACTTCACACCGCCCCTTCCTATGCAACCCAGTTACCCCATTGCAAATAAAACCGTGCGCCGCGATGAAAATAGTGCATGCCAAGTGATGCTGTCTCGACCGTACGCCTAGGATGTAGCGCTTAACGATGCCTCCTCTTAACGTGGTGTTGTCAAGGTTCGAGGGGTGGCTGTGTACAGTGCATGTGTGTGAATGAGGAGGGAGGGGGACGTTTGAATGGAGGCAAATGACATGGAATAGACTCGGGCTTTGGGCAGGTGTGCGGTGGTATCGTTTATTTGGGGCGCGCTTTTCCGCTTCTTTAATCAGTTTGTTGGCGTGCGAGAGGGGGCGAAGGAGGGGGGAGTCCTTGTAAGCCGGAGAAGATGCTGCCACTCTGCATTGGCCTACTATGTGTTGCTTATAATTAATCATGGCTGTAACTAAGCATTTGCCGTTGGGAGCTTTTCAAGTCAAGCCTCTCAGTCTGCTGTCACACGGGGCCTAACTGTGGAGCTACTACGCGGCCTATTAACAGACATTATCACCATCCTCTCTTCCATTTTGTACACCAAGGTGCATTTTCATTTTAACACACAGGGGCTTTACTATGAGAATGTAAATATGCGCGTGCACGTAAGCTCGCTCATGCACCTCTCCTCCATACATTACGAATATGGAGGTATACAGTAGCCTAGTCTTATGCGCGTCGTCATTTGGCCATTAAGCCGAATGAGTGCACTGTGGACTCCGATTCCCCCCGACCCAGCTGCCGACAATCACTTATCGATTCCAATGATGCGTTTCTTGCCCGGAGGGTACCGTTTCGTGGTATTAAGGCGAGGGGGAGGTGGAGGGAGGAGAGGGAAGGCGCACGTTCATCATTAGTAGCTATATGTTTCTGCTATATAACCAAGCAATGTGCGTGCATCATCCCTTTCTGCAGGAAATGCCTTTGAATGCAAAAGCAAATACCGTCTTGCTTTTGTCATCCTGCAAACCCATCTCTCCCCGCCCCACTGTCTACTTCAGGAGCTTGCAGTCCCTTTTTATTACTCGAATTAGATATTTGTTCACGCGTAATCGGATGCTATGCGTAATTGTACATGTATTAATTGGTGGCATTGAATAGGGTGTAAAGCCAGAGCGTTGAGTCTAGAGTAGGCGGCTTCTGGACTGATGATGTGGATAATCAAAACACCCACATGTGCAGACACAACACACACAACAGAGTGGACACCAATGGAACTGCTGAAGTCAGTCTATTACAGAGCTGAAGCTTCCTTTTGGCTTAAGAGGAGGTCTAGTCACATCCTCTAGTAACAAATGAACATGATCAGACCAGGGCTGTATGGGACATTCTGGTGGCTGGATACTGATTTATACCTTGTTTTTAGGTTCAGACCTGAACTTGAGGCTTACTTGATACAGTCCTGGTTATGTGTTTAGTTCGGGTTTGGTTCCTTTTAAAATTCACATTTAACATTGACTAATGATAACAGAGCCTCAGCTGAACAAACAAAGTTGGTGTGCAAAATGGTCAGGATAATGTCAACAAACAATTTTCTGCCACTGATATACACACAATCATTTACATTTTTCCTGGCAATTGTATTGTATCACTGTTCTGTTGAACTTGTTAGAAGATGGTAGCCTACTTACAGTAATCTATTTGTTTTCATTCTTATAGCCATTGCCACTTACTACAAGCCTGTTCTTAATGTCTGACAAATTCATTTAGCTTTTCATAAAAAAAATAAAATAAAAATAGGCAGCATGCAAGATGCCATATTTCTGATATTGTAGGCAAGAAACCTTAAAACCATATTTTAAATAATACTAGAGATTGGAATCAATCAAATGTACTCAAGCTAATTCCATTAAAATGTTGGAAGTTGCAGAAACTCCATAAATATCAGAGTTGGGTCACAATTCTTACAATTCACATCATTTTGACAAATTCAATTCACAAAAAAGTTTCACTGATGCTACATGGTAATGTAGCAATACTGAAAAAAACCTTAGGTTTCAAACCTAAAATAATAATCAGAATAGCTAGGATAATGCTCCTGTATCTGCCCACAGGCTGCCTGCCATTCTGTGCCATTGGCATTTCTAGTCACTAGCACCAGTCACTCACACACCACATTGGCATCACACTGGCATCACACTGGCAAGGTAGATGTGTTTTGCCCAAGGAGATAATGGCAGTGAGCAGTGGTTAAAGCTGGTAATGAATAAGCCGCAGTTAGAAGATGACCCTACACTGCAAAGTTACAAAGGGTAAAGTTTCAAATTGAAGTCTGTGTTGTAGTTGTCTCATTGTGTATTTATTTGAGGATTTATGGTTAGATGTTCTGTTATAATACAATCATAATTTGTTTGTGATTACTCCGTCTTTGCAATAAAGTCAGTTGGATGATGATGGCTCCTTGGTGCTTGAGCCAGTTCTCCTGCACAAACAGTTCATTTAAAGCTGGACTTCAGTCACCAGTTATTTTTATTATGTCCAAAATGGGCCTTCATGTAATAATAGCTTATGACCAGGTTGTTCTGTAACTAGTTTTGATTCACACAATAGATGATTTTGGTTGGATAAAGCACTCTTATAGCGCTGCCCAGTCTCTGACGTACCCGGGCCTGTATGGGGCACTAAATCAGTCCAAAGCACTTAAAAGTATAAAGGCCAGCACGCGCCCCAGAGTACCGTAGACTAGACAGTGAAGAATATGGGAGAGAAGAGAGGCTCAGCTCACTATAATAATGTTGATTGCCTGAATCTATACAGCCCTGGCGCATGGTTTGGAGGGAGAGACAGATGATTGTCTACTAAAAAAAGTAATTTAGAAGAGTTATAATTTAGAAACAAAACAAACAATTAGCAAACTTGACTGTGGCACTGGTTTCTTATCATTTGCTGTACAGGGTGAATTAAATCTGAGTGCCCTACTATTTTAATAGGTCTGTTTTGCTTAGAATGCAGTAGTGACAAAGGTAAGGTAAGGTACTATGAAGTAAGTAAATGAAGACAATAAACATTGAAAACAAGAACAGTGTTGTCAAAAGACTGCTTGTTTCAGTTGAATTAATATTTATTAAATCTTGATCAAATCATTTGCAGATCATGATGTCAGTCAATCCTGTGGCAGATATAATAGATTTTAAATATTTAATCCTTAGATTTTTTAATGGAACTGGAAATGGCAATGTTCATGAACTCTCAAGCCATATTTATTTGATTTAATTAGAAACGATCAAATGGAAAATATGAGGTAAAAAATAGTAATATATGTTTTAGCCAGTTCTATGCAGTGTTGATATGTAATTAATAGACATATTAAAATAAGTCTTGGTCTGTAATGTCAAATGGATTTGTTGCTCTCTATCTAAACAAGTTTTTACCTTATAAAGCATACAACTGTTGCAAAGTTTTTTTAAATTGTCTTTTTACAGTGTAAAATATGACACTGTCAGACAATTTAAGGGGATCTCTACTAGAGGTGGGAGAGATACAAAAATATGATAACATTGCAATTTGTTTGTGTAGTCTTACAAACAAAGGTGCTAACTCTGTAAGCCTGTAGTCAAGTAAAGAACTTCTTGGTCGACGAGGCTTTGCCAGTTGATTAGGCAACTAAAAAGGGGGTATGGATAAAACTCTCAAAACTATTATGTATCTCTATGTATCTGACACAAACTACTCCCTACATCTGCACAGCAGTTAATGAAAACGGTAGCTGACTATGAAACAATGTATTATTATGTCTTTATAAAGACAGATTAAACTTTGTGAGTTTAATAGGAAGTTTTACATCTAAATACCAAAAAATACCAAATCTTCAGCTAACTCTCTCACTAACTTCTCCTTTCTGGTGTAATCTCATGTATAGTTCATTATAATCTCAATAAAATTAATAGTCTGCAAGTTTTGGTTGACCAAGATACCATCAACCAATAATTCGAACCAGCCCACAACCCTATACACACATTTCTGATTAAATGTCATAATATTATCTGTTTATAATCAATGGGATAATCTAACAGATATAGAAATATGTCAAATTTGTAAATGTGCATTTGCTGTAAGTGTAGATTTCTCATGATCTGTTAGACATTTTCTAACAGACCACATGCATTGGCTTGGCTGTAATAAGTGACCTAACATTTGTTTGTCCCTTGTCTTGTCTCTTTGGCAGCTCCCTCGGATGGTGCACTGAGGAGCTCTGTGGACACAATAGAGTAGCACCCGCCCTCCTCTCTCCCCTCTGCTCCCATCGCCCCCTCCCTGCTTCTCCTGTGCCAGTCCCAGCCACCCACTGACCAGCTCCCCATAGAGCCGCCCTATACTTATGTAACATAGGAACACACAGCTTTTCGTTCTGTAAATAAGAAAGTATAAAAGTCTCCAGGCAATAAGATTATAATGCGGACATGACCAAAGGAATGCTATTTTTGAAAAGAAGTAATGATTTATATTTTGTACTTTAGAAAAACAAGGCACGACATTTGCACGCACAATCCCAATCCTATATATTTCCTAAGTAACAAGTGAGCTCAAACGCCACGGTCTCATGATGATGTGCGAAGTGATGCCCACCATTTCTGAGGATGGGCGCAGTGGGTCAGGCGGCGGGCCCACCTCTCCGGGCGGGCCAGGGGTCGGGGCGGGTGGAGGTCCTGGGGGTGCCATGGGCGGCGGTGGGGGCTTCAGCGGCCGGGACCCCAGAGGAGGAGGAGGAGGGGGTGGGGATGAAGGAGGAAGCACGGGCAACCTGGAGTCCCTGATGGTCAACATGCTGACGGAGAGGGAGCGTCTGTTGGAGAACCTACGGGAGACGCAGGAGAGTTTAGGCACAGCTCAGCTTCGCCTCCGAGAACTGGGACACGAGAAGGAGTCTCTACAGCGGCAGCTGTCCATCGCACTGCCACAGGTATGCACTCTCTGAAGACACATGCAGCTATTTTTGTCACGGAGAAACATTCAAATGCAAAAGTTTGGCTCTGTCAGCAGTTTTCAGACCAAGAGGAGGCCGGACAGCCAGTCTAATTCCAATAGCAGCGCTACAAATTATCCTGATTATAATTTGAAAGAGTTCGCTCTAAAAGAACAGTAAATGGTAAAGCCAGACTAACTTAAATTTCACACAGTATTTCACATTCATGAACTTAAATGTAACAAAAGTTGATATAGTCTGTCATTGAGAATTATTAAAATATATGAACATTTTCTCTCTATTATCGTCAACTTGTAACTGAAAACCTTAACCATTACATATTTGTCACAGAACTGTAATCTCTCAGATGAGACATTTTACCAAAGATTGTTGCTTTTTTGACTTTCTAATATTATTTGGCCAAAAGCGGTCTGCTTTGACATTGAAGGGCTCATACTATGCTATTTTCTATTTTATGTTATAATGTTGTTTCATCATCACAAACATACCTGGATTTGTGTTTTTTTTGTTTTGTTTTTTGTTTTCATTAGCACATGTTTAACACACAAACCCTGTATATTTATTTCCTCTCTCAAAGTGAAAGCACTCTGTTAAACCTTGTGATGTCCTGTGGTAACATAGGAAGTGCTCCACTGTGTTTTTAAACACCATACACATTTATTAGTATCATTTGGACTATTTCAGCCCCGAACTAAAGGTAAAAGGTAGCTGTTAACTTCATGATATCACAAGATTGAACAGAGCATTTTAAGCTTTAAGCTGAATAAAACAAAACACAACTCCAGGTATATTTTTGAAAACATAACAGCATTTTAACAGGTCTTAAAGTTCACAAGAGTCAGTTTCACATAATATAGGACCTTTAAAATTACTGCAACTGCTGCAAGTATTGTGTTGTCTTAGTCTAAGTCTATCAGATGGTTTTGTGTTATGCTTTGATGATATGGAAGAACACCAAACACTAAACAGAATATCACTGATAGAATAGTGCTAGCTCTGTATATTTCTCTTATATGTAATCTGGGCAAAACAGCTGTTAGCATCCTGCTCCTGCTCCTGATGGTTTGGTGGCTCTTGTGAAGGGGCTTATGAGACAGTAAGCCTGAACAGTGACAGTTCATACTGAGACACAGAGTGGATGTTAAATACTTCCTGCTCCACGTCTGAAGACATTTCGTTGCTAATGTTGATCTTCTCACTAATGCAGTGAATGATCTTCTATCTCCCTTTTGCATTACGCTTTAGTAGCTGCAACAATTGGCCCATTTTCTCACTGTTTAGTTTTTTTTCTTGTTATCCAAAGTAGTGCATGACAAAAATAATGCAGTATAAAAAAGTACTTACTGAACAGCTTTGTATGAATTAAAGTTCATGAAATGACCTGGGCCTACATCAGTCAGAAGAGTCCAACTAGGAAACTGACTACTGATTTTATATCCAATATTCAATACCAGTATCGGTATTATTCATCCCTACTTATAATATTTGTATTCTTATGCTTTTTCAGAATTGTGTTTTTATCCCAAATTAACCACATGATCAGACTTGTTACAGTACAATTTGTTGTCCATAAGTTCATGAGGTCTATAGTCTACAGGGCTGGACATGGACACTAACTGTGACACAGACCCTTATCCAAAGCAGACACCAATTCCACGAGGCCAAGAGCCAATGGGCCCACTGTGTCACCATCTGTGGACAGTGATTCTAATGCTCTTTTTCCATCTTTACTTATATTTAGGCTACATATCATGTATTTTAGTGTGTCAGTTTGGTATTGTCAATAATAATCTTTAAACCTTGAGCATGGGGTTAGCAGGTCTGTCAGGGTAATTACTGTATTGATCGATCAATGCATGTAAGCTGGAAAAATATTTTTTGGGAGTCAATATTTATTATTTGTTCATTTTCTTTGCACTGCTGATAATCTTTGTTTTTTTTTTGTTTTTTTTGGCTATATGTTAAGATTTAAGTTGTTAAAGGTTGAATAAACTTCTACGACTCATTATAGATACAAACTGAGTACTAAAGTGTCTCATTCTGCTATTTATTTATTGCAGCTCATGATTTTTTAATAATATTGTAGATTTAGAGTAGGTTTCCTGCTTTAGGGTTATAAATAAGTGGTATAAATGTATTTTTAATATTATATTGTTAATTGTCTATATTTTGTTCAACAATATATCATGACAGGCCTAGGTGTTAGGATGCTGTTTTGATTTCATTGCAAATGTGTTCCTCGTGGTGATGTGAATGATGCTGAGATGCGGTGTGCTCTGTTGAACTGGGCCATTGTGTAACACTGTGATGCAATCCGTCCACAAGTGCTCACACACACAGATGAGCAGGAGGGGAAAGTGTGTCAGCGATTTACATGTTTTTTATTGTACTTTACATCATATATGCTGGGTGATTACCATCTCTGTTGTTTCATCTACCTTACCCTTTGCAATCAACAGTGGCATTTTAAGGCAGTCAGAGTGCTTCTTGTTAGGACTGATAGTAATGGACTCACAATGGGCCTGAGACTGTGTCTAAACTGGACAATGGACTCATAGGGCTCAATACTTCTGGCTATCCATCTTTAGCAAATTCTTCATGGATCTTTTTTGATTTATGGAAAAAGTTTTATCCTGGCGTTTGATTTTACCCTGGCACAGGATATTTATTGGTAAATGTTAGATTTAGCCTTCCATGTCCATCCATAGTTCCAACGTTCAAAAACAGATTTGTTTTCCATTATAGCATGCCATCATTGTTGTCACTCTTCTGTACACAATAGTATTCCTTCTGATTGTAGTTCAGAGTTGAAAACACCACAGAGTCTGTCTGGTGACTGTAACCATTGTTTACCAGGGCTTTGCAATTAGATTGAAAATGTATGCTTTCAAATCTGAATTCAGTTCCACTACCTCATCAAAAATAAATTCTAAAATCATGATTGATTTTGAAATACAGACTGACAGAGGATTGCCCATAGCCCTCTCAGTTACAAAGAGCCAGGCTGATCATTGACAACAAGATTTCAATTTGATTAAGCCCTAGTTTATAGTACACATTTGAGAGAAATTTCAATAACTGATACTATTATTTCTTAAGAGTACATCGATACGTTTGTGAACATGTTTGAAGAAAAATAATTACATTGCTAATTTAACTTTATTTTCCAATATAAAGAACATATTTTCTTGTTTGTAAAGGACATTTTATTACCAAAATTATTGCAGCCTACACTATTAACACTTCCTATGTTGTGCACTGCCTCAGGCCCATAGCGGTTAAATAAGGACCAAATATTCACTGTTAAAAAAAAACATATCAATACAAATATAAACCTTGTCAGTTTGTTTCTACTCATGAGGTAACACCCATCCCCGCAGAATGTACATTTGTTTTGTTCACACCTAAAAGCAGCATGTCTTTTCCACAGGAGTTTGCAGTTTTGACGAAGGAGTTGAACGTTTGCCGAGAGCAGCTTCTAGAGCGAGAGGAGGAGATTGCCGAGCTCAAGGCGGAGAGAAACAACACACGTGTAAGATGTTTAGGCGCCATTTTGCTTTTTTGCACGATAACAGCCTCAGTGTTGGCTTCCTCACCCGCTCTGGTTGTGTGGGTGCGACTCTCTTCTACTCTTTTGCCTCAGTGCTTTTCCTCTTAATTTAACGCTGCGCTATGTAACTTTTCTGGGTCCACTACCTGCTTGTCTCTATGGAGATATTGTTGCTTCTGTAAGATCTGTAAAGTGGCTCAAAGTAAGAATACGTGTTTTTCAAGGTATTTTTGTGCAATAAAAACACTCAAAAATGACAAATAATTTTAATGCCATACTTTGAAGCATTCCTAGCACAAGCACAGCAATAACATCTCCATGGAGACAAGTGGTAATGCCCTACCAGAAAAGTTAGTGCACCTTTAAGTTTCTGATATAATTATTTTCTCACAGTATAACAGTGCAATTTGGAGCGAAATTACAATTTTACAATTGTCACAGATATTGACACACTGAATGAAAAAGCTAACTAGTGAAATCAAATTCAGTGATTCAGGTTTGTGTTATTTTAGTATATTTTAATCTGCACTCTTCTCTATACCTTTTGTCAAAACTTTCTTCCGTATGTTTAGTTGTTGCTGGAGCACCTGGAGTGTCTGGTGTCCCGTCACGAGCGCAGTCTGAGGATGACTGTAGTGAAGCGACAGGCGCAGTCTCCAGCAGGGGTCAGCAGTGAGGTGGAAGTCCTGAAGGCCCTCAAGTCCCTGTTTGAGCACCACAAGGCCCTAGATGAAAAGGTGCTGTCATGTCTCATATAAAACAACACAAACATCAGATTCAGAGTTATCTTTTTTTCCCTCCAACTGTACTTTATTTCTGCTTTTCAATGTAATTTACAGGTCCGAGAACGGCTGCGCGTGGCCCTTGAGAGAGTGTCCATGTTAGAAGATCAACTTGCAGCATCTTCTCAAGAGGTATCATTATTATATGGGTTACTGGGCACCACTGAATTTATTTGTATATGAAGAAAGTACTCTAATTGGTGTGGTCTGTTTTGTTTTGCAGGTAATCTCTTTAAGAGACCAAATTAAAAGACGTCAACAAGGGGTGGACGGCGGGAAAGATGTAAGGGAGGGCTCCATGCATGTTGGCTCCAGTTGTTTGTGTATTGTGTTAGCGTCCACACAGTCAGTAGAGCAGTAGATGTATGGGTATCATGGCGTGTCAGTGTGCTTCTAAATATACTCACTATTCATGTGGAAGCTCAACTGATTCTAACTGATTATCTCTCTTTATCACTCGCATTTCATTGTGTGTTGTCATCACTTCAGCGCCTTCCTAATGGCCCCTCCTCCAGCCTGGAGGATGGAGAGCTGGAGCGGCAGAGAGAGGGAGAGATAGAGAGGCAGAGAGCTGAACTGTCCCAGCTCCGAGAGAGGCTAGCCCTCATGTGTCGACAGGTGAGCACCCTATTGTACCTGATATTGTACCTGATGTGAAGGCAGAAAGAGATGTGTCCTCACCACTATGGATCCCAGAAAGAGATAAAACAATAAAAAGGCCACACATGCTTTTAGTCTTTCTCTTCCCTCTGGTGGTCAGTTAGGTTACTACAGCTGTAATCACAATTAAAGTATGGCATAGGGATGGGTATGTTTGGATGTTATAAACGCTGGTAATATATTGGTTATAAACACTGATTGAGCAGTGTGAGGCCAAATACCTGAGCAAAAGAAGATAGATTATGATTTTCCTGAGACAGTGTGTGGAGTTATCTATCGCATCAGTCTTTTTGCCCTGGAACAATAGATTTACCACAGGGGCCTTTGTAATCACTCAATGTTACATCTGTGTTTACACTATGACAGCACTGACTCATACATTCTCCATCACTGCTGTCTTGTGTCCATTCGCGGCGTCCCATCAGGTTGGTGAAATAGAGGAACAGCTTGCGGCCGCCAGGAGAGAAGTGACGAAGACAGAGGAGGCCAATCAGAAGCTGCAAAGGGAAGTCAAGGAGGTCTGTCAAGCCGATCTGTCTTTATACTTCCAAAATCCAGTATTTTATAATTAGTCAGATAAAATGTATCAGCCAAATGTAGTTTTTAATTTATACAAATATTTATTACATGTAAAGTCGTGCATTTACACATATGTAGGAAAATAAATCAGTGTTTCTGTATGTATATCTGTGGTTTTCAGGCTCTATGCCAAAGAGAGGATATGGAGGAAAGAATCACAACACTAGAACGCAGGTATGCTTTCTGTTTCATAAAATTTCTAAAATTCTCCCTTTAACTTACCCAAGGCACTAAGAGAAGGGCCATATGCTTCACCTGTTGGCTGACAATGTGTGTGTAAAAGTGTTTTGACACTTAATTATACAGTCCAGACGTCATACATAAATTTCATTACCCTTTTTCATAATGAATATACAAGAGATAATAGTGAAAAAAAGGACAGACATAACTATGCAAGACACTGTCCGATCATATATTTATGGTACACTTTCATACAAATTATGTAATTGAACCACTGTCTTTTAAATGTTATTGTGCAGGTACCTCAGTGCCCAAAGGGAGGCGACTTCTCTCCATGATATTAAAGACAAGCTTGAAAATGAACTGGCCAGCAAAGAATCTCTGTACAGACAGGTAAGGGGCACTGAATTTACAGTAGTAAGTAGAAAGCAAAACTGAACTAAATAAAAATACTTTTTGCATCCTGATTCTTGAATGGAATGGCATCACAGTTTACCAATATAAATGCATTAATGATAAGCTAAAATTACTTACATGCTTAGTAATCACAAGGAATTGTTCATCATGTGAATCATCAGAGTGAAGAGAAGAACCGGCAGCTCCAGGAACGTTTGGATGAGGCCAAACAAAAGCTGCAGCAGACCCTGCAAAGGGCTGAGACCCTGCCTGAGATCGAGGCCCAGCTCGCCCAAAGAGTGGCAGCCCTCAACAAGGTACAGCCCATTCTGATCTGAGCTCAGGCATTTGGCTGTGGCCCTTGAGGTTGTCCTCAACCTATTGGAACTTAATATTCTTGTTTTATAATGTAAATTAGGCTGAAGAGCGGCATGGCAACTTTGAGGAGAGACTTCGACAAATGGAGGCCCAACTTGAGGAAAAGAACCAGGAGCTTCAGAGGGTACAATGATACAGATTAATGAAATTTTTTTTTTTTATTTGGGTTTTCCTGAGTGTTCAAGTCCATGTGTTTCCAGGCGAGGCAGAGAGAGAAGATGAATGACGAGCACAACAAGCGTCTGTCAGATACTGTGGACAAGCTCCTGTCTGAGTCTAATGAGAGACTGCAGCTGCACCTCAAAGAGAGGATGGCTGCCCTGGAGGAGAAGGTGCTTCACTCATCATTCATGCTGTGTTTGTTTGCTAAGGGGAACCGTTAACATTAATCTTTACTTTATGTACAGAATGCACTTTCAGAAGAACTGTCAAATATGAAGAAGATTCAGGATGATCTTCTTGCAAATAAGGTACTTACACTTTTTGCATTTGTTTGTATGTGAAGTCTTCTTTTAAAATCCTTGATGCTCTCTGTTTATTCTCACATTTATTGCTGTGATTTCCAACTTTGAAGGTGACAAAGCCCACGTGAAGTTTCTATTACTGTTTGTTACTAAAGAATATCCCTGTTCTGTGCATTATATAGCCAAGGCTATGTGCTGATAGCTCTGTGTGTGCTTTAGGAACAGCTCCTTGCTGAACTGGAGCGCATCCAACTGGAGCTGGACCAGCTCAGGGGCCGGCCTGGATCCTCTTATTCCAGGTTAGTGTTGAAACCCCTGCTCTATGTCCTAAATATTGTCTTTGCCAAACATTGTGAGTGATGCTGTAGAATTTTTTTTTTTTTTTTAAAGCAGACATATTATTCAAAATAGATTTTAACCATGCTATAATTGTTTCCGCTTTCAAGTTGTTTTGGGAATAAATTTTTAATCTCTTATTTTAAGGATGCCATATTGCTGTTTATGCCCATATGCCCACTGCTCTGCACTTACCTTGTTCTTGAATTTTATTTTATTAATTATTGATACACATAGAATTCGACAGTGTCACATAGTCATTTTGGTACAAAAAATATTCACTACTCTTTTATGGAAGATAATTTGTTTCATCAGATTTTGAATTTTAAATCCCGCAGAACTTTGAATTTTTGTTTGAATTATTTTTATTCTGAATTTCAGTTGATGAATTTTTAGGTATACTTTTTCAATGTGTTTATAATTTCAAAATAATAAAAAAAAACACCTTTTAAATATTCATCATAAATATTTCGAAGCCCTCAAATTCAACAGTGAAATTTCATGTGTAAACTTTGCAAGATCCAAGATGCATAAGGCATAAGGCTGACGGAAGTGATGCTGCCAATCTGCAACATCAGCCCTTTCAATGACCAATCACTCACACACGAGACATTCATACTAGTCAGTGTGGTGAAGTGTCTTGATTAAAGCTGGTGTACCTGATTTTCAAACCATGAAAGAAAGTATGTGTTTAAAGTATGCATATAAACCTAACCTGTTCCTAGCCTTACAAACCTTTTGACACATCACTAATATTCATATGACATTCATTTTTTGGCAGTTTTAGAACAAAATGTTATCAGCTATGTGTGATTAAGTTGTATTTGTATTTTGCTTTTGTGTTCTCAGGGCAGGCAGCGTGAGCTCTCTCCCTTCCACCCTTTTCCGAAGATCTCTTCCTGGCAGCTCATCTGAGTTACGGTACCCCCAGGGAGGGGGCTCCCTGCCAGCAGGCTACGGCAACTCCTCAGGTGGTGTGGTGGTCAGGAGGACACACCGGGGCCGATGGGGCAGCAGAGATGATAGTAATAAGGTAATCTCAAACAAGACAGATTTAATCTAAAATCAAACTAGTATTTTGTTATGAGTATGATAAATTGCTGTAAACTGTTTGCTTGGAGGTGGTTTCGTGAACCCATTTGGTCTGTTGATGTGTTTGTCAGTATGGTGACTGGGACAGCAGTGGAATGCCAGGATTTGAAGGTGGAGTGGAGGGAGGCTGCTCTGACGATGAAGATGACAGGGAGACACTGTTCGGCTCTGAGTTGCTATCTCCCAGTGGACAGACAGATGTCCAGACTCTGGCCATCATGCTTCAGGAGCAACTGGAGGCCATCAACAAAGAGATTAAGTGGGTTTACTTCTTTTATTTAAAGACTACTTAAAGAACATATGTTGAAGTTCTCCTCCTGCTCACAGACTGATCCAGGAGGAGAAGGAGAGCACAGAGATGAGAGCAGAGGAGATCGAGAGCCGTGTGAGCAGTGTGGCTCTAGATGCCCCTGCACTGCCCCCCTCGTCTCTGGGGGGTCGGGGCTACATCACTCCCTCAATCACCTCCTCCACCTTAGCGTCCCCCTCACCTCCTAGTTCAGGACATTCCACCCCTCGCCTGCCCCACTCTCCTGCCAGGGAGACAGAACGACAGGTCCACACCAGAGTTGCTTTATAGATTATTACATTTTTATTAAAATACTGTTCACTACTAAAATGCTATAAATTACCTTTATAGAATAGCAAAGAGGGTGAAGAATGCCGAGCTCTTGCCCTGATAGACTCCACCCCTCCACCTGTTCCCCGAGCTCTGAGACTGGACAGAATGACACACACTCATCCAGGTGCAGGTCTAGATGACCACAGAGAGTTTCGCAGGTAAATAAAAAAAGGAAACTATTAATATATGAATCAAAAATGTAATATTTATGGCAATGGCTTTGATCTTGTCTATGTGTAGCCTCTCTGCTGATGGAGCCACAACTGCTAGTCAAGATTCCCTGCACAAAGCCAGCAAAAAGAAAAGCATTAAGTCATCTATTGGACGTCTTTTTGGTAAAAAGGAAAAGGGAAGAATGGGTGCCCCTGGTCGGGAATCAGCATCACTCGGTTTGTGAATAATCATATTTCAGATTCCCAAAAAGGAAATGTTGAAATTATATTTGTCATAACATTTTTTTCAGCATCTACTCCATCTGATGACTTGGGATCAGCTGACCCCTTAGGCTTAGCTAAACTTGGGACAGGAACTGTGGAAAAAGATCGCAGAAGCAAAAAGAAGTAAAACCTTTTGTGACTATATTTTGTTTTCACATTTCTGAAATATTTACAGCTCTGTTTCTATATAACCCATCTACATTACATGAATGAACATTGCCAAAAAATACCATAGTGTTGAGCAGCTAATGTGCTCTGTGAATTTCTATTCATGAAGATGGGGTGAGATATTACAGCCTAATCTCTTAAAGTAATCTGTCAAACTTGGCTTTCCACTCTCTGTCAGACACGACCTGCTGGAGGAGGCCTGTCGTCAGGGTCTGCCTTTTGCCTCGTGGGACGGTCCCACTGTTGTTACATGGCTCGAGGTACAACCTGGCACTGCTCTAATAGGCCACATGGTTCATTTAAATAGCATTATTAGAATTGCTTTCTACTTATAACTGTACACTGCTTTCCGTTTCCTAGCTGTGGGTTGGGATGCCAGCCTGGTATGTGGCAGCATGCCGTGCCAATGTGAAAAGTGGCGCCATTATGGCTAACCTTTCCGACACAGAGATCCAGAGAGAGATTGGTATCAGCAACCCACTGCACAGACTCAAACTACGCCTGGCCATCCAGGAAATGGTGTCCCTCACCAGCCCATCTGCTCCAGCAAGCACACGCTCTGTAAGGGTCTACCTCATAAAAACAGAATAAACACAAGATCATTCACAGTGACATCATTCATACTTTTGTCTAAGTGGAATTTAACAAAACATCTGTGTACTGTCTTTGCAGTCTACAAGTAATATTTGGATGACACATGCTGAGATGGAGTCTCTCGCTGCTGCCACCAAACCAGTAAGACTCAAATGTGGTATAAATATCTTTTTATTGGGGTAAAATGTTAGTGGGGGATAGTATGTTTTTTTTTAGCTCAATTATTTTTATTATTTCAGAGTGAGATTTCACTCGATCCTGCCATTTGATTAAGTTTTTGTCTTTGTCTGTGTCTCTGATTAGGCGTGTTTGGCTACACCTTTCCCTTGCTATTCCCCCAGTTTCTGTTTTGATGTAGTGTTTCTCCGTCTCATTCTCACTCAACTAACAAGACTTTTCCTTCTGCTTTCCTTGCTCTTTACATTGTACCACCCTGACCCCCCTTTGCCACCACAACACTGCCCTCCTGGCGACCCTTGCTTCTCTTTGCGACTCTTTGTCCCCTTTCTCTCGCTCTTCCTTTCCGCCACGGCCACCAGGAGCAGAAGGAGTTCAGCTGGGATCAGGTTAGTTCACACCACATGACTGGACCTATATTACGTGTGTTTTCTGGGGCCACTGTTCCTCTCTTAAACAAATATTTATAAAGAGCTAAGTGTCACATGCTTCAGACATGAGGTTTCTTTCATCTCCGACTAGAATAAGTGCATGAGTCACCAAATAACAGGAACCATCCGCAAGGGAATTTGGGAGCGGGAAAGAGAGGCCATTCAAACTATCATCATTTTCTCCTGTGCTCCTGCGCTTTGTCCCTGTCAGATCCTGGCCTATGGAGACATGAACCATGAATGGGTTGGAAATGAATGGCTGCCCAGTCTGGGTCTTCCACAGTATCGCTCCTATTTCATGGAATCTTTAGTGGATGCTCGCATGCTCGATCACCTCACAAAGAAAGAACTGAGGGGACAACTCAAAATGGTGGACAGTTTTCACAGGTAAGGATCAAACAAATTGATATTATCGCCAAAGAGTCATTCAAGTCACCAGTGACTAGATCTAAACCAAGTGTATAACAGGATTGCACTAAGCCTACAGTAGGGCTAAAATTCATAAACAAAGCATTAATCTATAAAGATGTATCACATTTTGTTTTAAATTACACTTTGGGGCCAAATTCTGAATCAGGTGCTCAACATGTTTGGCCCCAATGTGTTGTGTATGTACCATATTTTAAGATTTCAGTTTTCACTTTGTTCTCATGTTCAGGGTCAGTCTCCACTATGGCATCATGTGTTTGAAACGCCTGAATTATGACAGAAAGGAGCTGGAGAGAAGGCGAGACGAGAGCCAGCATCAGAATCAAGGTTTACAATTTTGACCAATAGGTATGTTTATGGTACATTCCTGTTTTTGTTGTAACTTTTGTGTTCATTCTCAGATGTGATGGTGTGGTCCAATGAGCGAGTGATGTGCTGGGTTCAGTCTATTGGTCTAAAAGAGTTTGCGGACAACCTGTTGGAGAGTGGGGTCCATGGGGCCCTGCTGGCACTGGATGACACGTTTGACTACACTGATTTGGCACTTTTACTGCAGATACCAAATCAAAATACACAGGTATGTTAACAATATTGAATATACAACCATCATAACAAATAGCACCATAAATAACATACAACATACATACACTTTTATACTTCTTTCAGGCAAGGCAACTCCTTGAGAAAGAGTACAATGCTCTCATCTCCATGGGAACTGAGCGGCGGCCAGATGAGGTACAACAATATGGAAACAAATATATACTCAAACACATGTACAAATGGGATTTTATGTCTTCATGGAGCAGTTATTTGATTATTTGTTCAATTGTCGTAGCAACATTAGGGTCTTGTCTGTAGAGACTTGGTGGCACTATCATTTGCCATTACTAAGAAGCCAACTGGTTCAGCTGTGTTTACACTGGACTAACTACTTAGTTGCAGGCAATACAAGATTTAAAGTGCAACACTGTCACAACATTGTCTTTACTTTGTCAAATAGTACTAATTACTATAAACCCCCATTATTATACAACAGCTGGTATTATGTGATTGTCCCTGCAGGATGGCACAAAAACATTCACGCGCTCTCCGTCATGGAGGAAGATGTTCCGAGAGAAGGACCTTCGCGGGGTGACTGCAGATTCCGCTGAGACATTACCTGCCAACTTCCGTGCCTCGGCCATAGCTACTCCATCAGTCACTCTGAGGAAAGTGCAGAGTGAAGGTGAGCCCGCCACCAACAACAGTACTGTAAATCCAATTCAGGCCCAAGTACCATCCTTTTAATGTATATATTTCTTTCTAACAGCCAATTCTGGTCAAAGAGCAGAGTCGGGGTCTGTCAGAACATATTCATGTTAAAAGATAAGCACAGCAGGTGAGCAGCCCTTTCCAACATTTTACATATATCATCACCACACATTTTCACAGTCCTCTTATACTTCTTGCTCTAGAATCCCATTCCCAACAAAATCCAAGGTGAAAAAATATTTTGAAGAAAAAATAACCTTAAGAATCAAAATAAAAATGAACTCTAGAAGAAGATGACCAACCTCATTCGAGCCAAGTCTCGAAGAATCAAAGACACTGAGTGAACGACTTGTGTATAGATGAGAAAAGAGTGAATGCTTATCCATCTGTTTCTCTCCATTTGACCCATAGTTGTGGCATGACACTGTTTGACTCTGTAGAAAGTGGACTGTAGAAAGTGACCATCGCCTATTGTGATTTAATTTTCTATTTTTGAGTGTGAGGTGGCAGTATTGACACAATGAATTTATAGTTTTTTATAAATGGAGAAATGCATTCCTGTTGAGAAGAGGAAAAGGGTAATGTGGCACACATCCTTTCAGGTGAACTTGTTTTTGACGAAAAAGAACATACTTCTTGAAACATCTTATACTATACAGTCGGGGAAGGAGTGGTTTACACGGACGAAAGTGCACATGGGGAGGGGTGGGGATTGTATGTTCTTAAGCCATAACAGAAAGAGATGCACAAATGTGAATAGGACAGACAATGAGACCAGTAGCAAGTGCTTTATATGAAAATTCAAAGTGATAAAAAGACTCAAGCATCTGTGTTAATATGCATGCCAAAATGAACATTTTAGACAAAACATCATGATATCAATCATCCTATGATGTAAAAGCTTGAGTAAGGACTTTGTAAAATGTCTGTATTTTATTTTTATCATTTTTCTATTGTATGTATGTACAGTATGTATGTGTGTGTATTAAAACAGTATGTTCATTTCATACTTAGTTTTAAGACTGTAATTTCATTTTAGATTAAAAAATGAAATATGTTTTAAAATATGAACATTTGAGATATGCTACTTGTATGTGTAAATTTTGAAAAGAAATGGTGTTGATTTAAATTAATATTATTGGAGAGTAGTGGTGATAAATGAATATTATATGACAACTATAATGATAATGATTGTAAAGCTGTAATTAAAACATACTGTAAAAAGTGTCACGGGTTTTTAATTATTCAAATAGAAAAGAAATGGTTTGCGTATATATTGACAGGAAGTGACGTTTCGTTTGGCGTTCCCAAAGTAGGAGAGTCTCCACCATGCAGCTCTAGGAGCTCTACACACACACGCACGCACTAAGTTAAACTTTTGTGGAAAAAAGTTAGCATGAATGTTTAAAACTTACATCAATGGAGCAACCAATGGCATACAAAGGGATGATTTTATATGCTTTTGCAGAAAAAAGGCATTCCTTCTTACTTGGGTCTTCATTCTTGCTCTTCTCAACAGGTAGGAAGCTTTGCTTTTACTAATTAAATTACATTTTAGAGATAAGTTAAGGTTAGGTTACTTAAAATATGCAATCCAGCCAAATTAACTCAATTTAATAAAAATATCAAACTTGGAGATGGAAAGGAGAAAGTGTTCAGTTTAATAGTTATATATATAGGCCTATATAAACTTCCAATCCAAAGCATTGTAAATAATAAATGTGTTTGAGTTTTGACTATTTAAAAGTTCATTTGGCTAACATACGGGTGGATGACAATACAGTCTGAAATGAAAGAACACACAGCATTGGCTAATGTGTGAGTTTTTAAAGGGGTTCCTTTGGTAATTCCACAGCTGCTCTCTGATAAACAGTTTCTCCGGCTTCTACTTCCACATTCACCAAGTCCCATTGTAATTGTTTATATTCACAATTGTTTTATTTATTTAAATGGTGACGCGGCAAAGAATGCTGGTGTTTTAAGATGAATGGAGGAGTTCAGAAGACACATGGATTACCGTAAGTATCTACAGTTTCATATAACTGGAAATATAACAGTTGATATTATTGACTAGTTTGTTTTTAGATTAAATGTATAATTAGTAATATCTAATAAAGATTATTTTTAGTTTTTCTTAAAATGCACATAGCAGTAGTCTGAATATCAAGCAGTGGCTATTAGTACTGTCTTAAGGTATGACAGGTGTCCCACCAAATGCTACTGAACCTTTTAAGGATCTCTTGAACCGGATAAAATCCATACATGGCGTGCGGAAAAAGTTATAAATCTTGGTTCATTTATGCACAAGTCTGACTCATGTGGGAGGAGGGCCCCTGAGTCCTTTATAAGGACCAGGACCTTAGTTCATGCTAAAGATTTTACAACACTTGAGCTTCTTTTTTACGGTTTAATTGAAACTAACCAATGTATTTATTTTCATATGATTATTTATTTATTATTATTATTGTTTTTATAATCTGCAATTTCCAAATGTTTTTTGATAAACGATACCCACTGATTGTTTTATTCCTATTTTTTTTATTGCCATGTAATCTGTCATTTTATATTCCTGACTCAAACCCACTTTTAGCCTTTGGTAACCAGGTGAGAGAAAGACATCTTTACACAGGTAAGTGTATTTTAAAATGGCATATTTACATGATCTTTTATCATCGGAAAGAAAGACATTTAGTTGTTCTCTTTGTCAATCTTAGACAATCACAGAAGAGGAATGTATCTCCAAATAACACTGGATGGACAAGTATCAGGGAGTGACAGCCAAACTCAATACAGTAAGCACACAAAACAAGACATCAGATTTTCTGACTTTCAGATATCTCATAAACTTAAATTGTTACAACTATCCTTTTTTGCAGGTGTGTTAGAGCTTAAATCTGTTCAAACTGGAGAGGTGGTCATCATAGGACGCAAGTCGTCTCTCTTTCTATGTGTTGACGGCAGAGGACGTCTTAGAGGCCAGGTAAACAGAGAACCTTCTGTAGACAGTGCTCATGCTGAGTTAGATTCTGTTTAAGTTTTTACATTTGACATCATTCTTCCCCAGAGCCATTACACTGAAGCAGATTGCACCTTCAGGGAACTCCTTCTGGCTGATGGATACACACGCTTTATTTGTTCCCATTATGGACTTCCTGTTTCTTTGGCCCCAAAACATTCCCAGGATCGACATGTGGTCTCCTTCACAAGATTTCTGCCTCTTAGAAACACTCTGTCTGAGGTGGCTGCCACTGCAGAAGGAATCGGCAGACAACCTTATGTAAACCTGGACTCTCATGACCCATTTGGAATGGAAACTGCTGTGGTTAGTCCACAAATATTTATTAAGAAATAGTCTACTGCTTTAATATTTATATTATTGTACAATCTCACAGACATATTTATTGAATAAGTTTATTTAATTGTTTGTTTAATTTGTAGCATGTGACATGTTTGCACATTTTGTTATATAATAATTATTATTATTATTATTTATTATTTATTTTTTAATTTATGATTTTTCAATGTGAGATTTATTACAAGTAGTTGTTAGTTTGTCTGAGCTGGAATTCTCAGTGAGTATGATGTAGTTGTATGTAACTAGAGTGCTGCTCCCTAGTGGTCAATTAGGGAAACATCAAGCTTAAAAATGAATAAACTGTCACATGAGAGACCAAATTAATGTTCTTTTTTATTGTATTATAATATATAATAATATTTGAAGAAAATTTGTAAGGCTACTGCAATAACACAAGTTTACTTTACACTTATAAGACAGGTTTAAGTATAATTTTTTTTTTATATATATATATTACTAACTGAACAATTGGGAAATGGAAAAGTTTGCAACTTTTTTTGGCTTTTGGCTTCAGAATTCCTGCCTTAACTTAAATATTGATAAAACAATTTTTTTTTTTTTGTGTGTTTTTTTGTTTGCTTGTTTGTTTTGTTTTTAAGTGTAAATGCCCACAGGCTTTTGCAATTTTAGTAAATTGATAAAACATCAGCAATAGATTAATTTAAATATTTTGGTCTATTACTTGTCTTAAAACTACAAAACGAAAGTCACATTAAAAAACATTTACAAAACTGAGGCCTAAAATACATATTTTCATGCCTTTAATGACAACAACCAGTTAGTCATTCTCTTACAGATCCTATAGGCCTCTGCTCACCCTTCCACATGAGATCATATCATGTACAAATTATGCATTGTTTACATGTATAACCAAACAATGGCTTTTAACTACACTAACCTGTACACAAATAATAACATGTCTTGAATGAATGCAGCGACATGAGGTGTAAATGGGATTATAATGGGACTATAGTTGTATGAATGACTGCATTAATATACATTGTATTGTATTTGCATTTACGTCATTTATGACATCAACCTGTCCAGGGACTGAAGGTGCAAATTAGCAATCTTGCTATAACCTGGCACAAACATATTACCTCTTAGCAAAGGTCATGTTTTCTTTTTTTATGTGCCTTGAACCTGATAAATAAACAAATAAAAAAAGAAAAACTACTACTATAATAACTAGAAAACAATGCCATATAATATGATACACTGAAATAATGCCTTGTCTTGCATAACTTCATGATAAACATGTTCTGTGTACATTACAATGTACAGACATCTCCCAAAATTAATAAAATATAATCTTTATTAGAAACATTCATCTGATTTTTAACAGAAAAGCACACAATCACATCTCTCAAAAAAAAAAAAGGAGAAAAAAAAGAAAGAAACTGTCAGTATGTACTTTTAAACTGTGAAAAGCATTTGTTACTTGAGGTAATATTAGCCAGTACTAGACTCTACAAGGTACAAGTAATGGCTGGTTGATCTGTATTCAGAGAAGGACAAAATGTACAGATAAATTACAAATACAGTGATATTGAAAGTAAATGAGAAAGCATTTGAGCATTGTGTATTTTGTTCATATTGTATAGTACTTCAATTTTCAAACATGGGTATTTAGAACTAGAGACACATTTTATTCTGTTCCCCACATTAAGACATCAGAGTTTGAAACACTGAACATAAAAACAAGCAATAATATCACAGCATTCATAACACAACCCTGAGAATGTAAAACCTGTCCGCTGACATATTACCAGCTGCTAAAATAATGTTTTTCAGCTCAGTCTTAAAATATCACATATGGCTCTCCATACAAACTGCATGCCTTCTTTACACTTGAGTTACCAGTGGTTCTCTCATACATGCGTTTCCTTCTTTATACTCCATACCATGAGCTGGACATGGTCCGTCCAGCAGAGTCCTATTTACTGGGGTGTATCTGCCCTCAATGGCATAGTATTCCGCCTCTGGGTCCTGCACCTCTTCCTCCTTTTGTTCCTCTTCATCTTCCTCTTCTTCATCTTCCCACAGTGATGTCTTGACATGGTTGTATTCTGTTTGATCTTCACATTCAGTCTCACGGTGGTAAAAATAACTGAAGTTGGACACTATGACAGGCACAGGCAGTGAAATGGTCAGCACGCCGGCAATGGCGCACATAGAGCCCACCATTTTTCCCCAAACAGTCTCTGGACACATGTCACCATATCCCACTGTGGTCATGGTAACCACAGCCCACCAGAAAGCATGTGGTATGCTGATAAAAGCTGTGTTTTTGTGGTCAGCTTCAGCAAAGTATATTGCACTGGAAAAGAGGATGACTCCAATAAAGAGGAAAAATATGAGCAGACCTAATTCACGCATGCTGGCTCGGAGGGTTTGACCCAGAATCTGCAGCCCTTTGGAGTGACGAGACAGCTTAAAGATCCTGAAGACTCGCACCAGCCGAATGACCCTTATGATGGCCAAGGAAGTGGCCGGAGTAGCGTCATTGTCCTTGGCCAACTCAGTGCCCAAAGTAACAAAGTATGGCAGGATGGCACTGAAATCTATAATATTCATGACATCCTTGAAGAAGTATGTCTTACTAGGACAGCAAGCAAATCGCATTAAGAGCTCAAAGGAGAACCAACATATACACATTGTCTCCACTAAAAAAAAGGGATCCTGGAAGACACTCTGTGGCAATGGCATGTTCTCTGAGACATTCTTGGGAAGGGAGTGATATTTGTACAAATATTCCTAAGAGAAGAAAAGAAGGGAAGGGTTAACAAAAGTATTTTTTCTACCTACTTAGTTAGTCCGGTTTTCTATCAAACAAATCGTAATGTATTCAACATGTTCTTATGACCCAAATTGAAATGTGTGTAAAAACATACATTTGAAGGTTATATGTTAAGTCACAAGCCATTTGACTCATCTACATAGCAGCACTGATCTTCTATACCCCATCCTCCACCACATTGAGCTTCACTTTTGGTGTAGCATCATAAAAGTGTCAGCTCTACATTTCAGTCATAGTCGATCCAATCTCTCTTTTCGTCCACCTGTCTCTCCACCTGCCATGTGAGGTTGCAGCCTCGAGCTGCAGAACGTACTGTAGCCCTGTACTGTGGTTTATAATGTCAACTGTCACTGTCAAATGGATTAGTTAAATCTATTATGGGAGCAATGCATTATCTTAAGTTTTATAGTACTTTAAATTAACCTCTGCTCATGGCTTTCAGTAGCAGGTCAGTCAAAGTGTTGATTACTAATGGTGTATGTGTATTTGTTGATCTCCACCAAGGTCTCTCCTAAGACTATATTTACCCTGTGAGATCTTCCAAGGGAAACATGAGAGTGTCTCTGAGCATCTATGTCCACCTTCATTGCTATCCCATATGCTGAGCACTGGCAGCAGTAAAACAGTCACTATGCTTTGGTGGGTAGTCCACAGACTCAGATACATGTTACAGTAGTTTCCTGGCAGTGCTCTTGTGCAAAGGCAGAGCAGCCTGGGAGGAATGTGTTAACATGACCCAATGTATGCAGCTGATTCTGAGAGACCTTTTAGTGTCCACTTCTAAGCCTATGAAAGGCGTTGGCGCAACTCTTACCATATGTTTGGTCACTTGTTTGACCTTTTCTTACCTCACCATGCCACCTTAGTTTGTTTTCCTTCTCTTCTACCATTTGTATTCCACTCCCCTACAACTCCCAGTACCCATAAGCACCTCATGAATCCATGTGTATCAGATTTAACAGTTGACTAAAATAATCACAGCATTACTTTCTCTCACAGTGTGGCTGGCTTGCAAACTTATTGGTCAATAGGTCTTGTCTCAGAGGTTTCCCCTTTAGCACACTGTACTCACCGTCAGTGTTTACATAAACACCCACTGTCCTGGAGACATCTGACCCAACCATTGCTTGCATCCCTTTAAGTGAATTATAACCCAAGAGTTGTCATGTTTGGATGCTATCGATAGCAAAGCCTACACTGCTTGCTTCATGTTAGTAATGGCACCAGCCTTTTTTCTAAGGGCAAAACATGTAGATTATTTTCATTTCCACTATCAATGGCTACATTTTTGGAACGCAGATTTTTACTGTCCCCTATATTTTAACTGGATTATTTGTTTCAACAGCCTTTTTCAGTAAAGTATTTATTCTTTACTGTATGTGACGTTTACCATAAGTAATATATGACTTGCCTCTCGTGCTTCTTTGTCCAACCTGAACTCTGGGAGGGTCTCCAGGCAGAAGATGAGGATGGATACCACAATAACCATCACACTGATAATGGCTATGATGCGTGCTCCTGATGACGACTCTGGATGCTCAAACAGCATCCACAATCTCCTCTGGATTTCATTGCTTGGCAGAGGCCTCTCCTCTTCTTTTGGAAAACCCTCATCTTCTTTGAATCGGTCTATGACATCCTCCCCCAGCTCATAAAACAGTAGCTCATCCATGAAGATGTCCAGAGGTATGTTGGTGGGCCTACGAAGCCTCCCACCAGACTGGTAAAAGTACAGAATAGCATCAAAGCAGGCCCGATTTCGGTCCAAGAAGAGTTCATTTCGTAGAGGGTCAAAATATCGTGACCTCCGTCTGGGATCACCAAGCATAGAGTCAGGGAATTGGGCTAATGTACGAAGCTGAGTCTCATAGCGCATCCCTGAGACATTGATGGCAAGTCTTTCACTTAGTGCCCACCCACTCCTCCACAATGTTCCAGATCTCCTACCGTCCTTTCTTCTCTCTTTGTCATTTTCTTGGAGCTCAATTACTCCCTTTTCTTCACAGTTGAGCTGCTCTTTCAGCTGTTTGTCTTTCTCTCCATCACAGTCCTTCCATCCCCCTCCTCTTTCATCATCACTGCTTTCCATCACTGTTGGCACCAAATGCTACCCAACAGTAATTCAATTTTTTTGGCCACAGTAATTTCAAGATGGACTTAAATCCGTACCTGAAATGACAGTTGTTTGTTAGTGATTTAAACTACTGTACGTAATAAATACACTGAAGTGTATCTAAACACCAAACCAATAAACCCCATTTTTTATTTGCTGTTGCTGTCAAACCATGTGTCTTATCTATGAGTAAGACGTGCACCAGTTGTGATAAAAATATAGAGTAGATTCACAGATGTGCCTATTTACTCACTTTGAAAAAGTTGTTGACAGAGCACAAGGACGGGTTGAGAAATTACATTGTTTGTGTCTCGTAGCACCTCGGGTTGCTTGGCTGTCTATCTGTCATCTTGCCCCTCACTTGTGATTTTCCGGTTGTCCAAACTGAGGCACACTCTTCCTTTGCCAATTGGGTGAAAGTCCCCGAAAGCTGCGTACTAAATTTGCGACCAGTTGTTTTCTCAAGGAACATACAGAGGCTTGTTCGTTCACTTGCTGCCTCACATTGGCTGTCTTGAATTTTTTTTTGGGAATGCTGTCCTGTTGAAATTTAATCTCAGCTGGACCCCAAGCGCAAACCCCTCCCGGTCCTTTCCCCTCCACTTCTATAGGGCGAGACAACCTTCAGCCTCCCTCTCAAATGTCACCTTTGCCTGGCACTGGTGTTACCCTCTCTAATAAGTCTGGAGCTTTGGCATATGGCTGAAGCATCACTGTTCACTTCATTCAGATTAGAATCAGATAAAGAGAGATCAAGGAGATGATTTGTCACATTTGTGCTGCCTGCATGGCAACCAAAACAAATGTGTAAATATTGATATTTGTTTTTGTTTTCTGTTTTACTCAAAACTTAGTAGTACTGGTACTATCAGACTGACCAAAAAAGGAAATACATTTTAAAATTTTAGATCGCATTCAGAACATGCAGATTATGTGTAAACTGAAGAAGTAGTTTCAAATTGTACTGTGCTACAGCCTTCCTGGTCTATTATAACAATGGTAAATGGTTACATTGATATCCCCTTTGGTCCTGAAAGGTCACGTAAAGCTACATCAAAACAACCCAGGAACCAAATGTGCTACATTTGATGGCTCAAAGCCAAAGTCCCAGTCTTTCCAATGCCCCTAACTGATTCCAAATGATAAATATAGCACTTATACATTATATGAAAAATAAAACAAAACTAATGTACATTCATCCTGTTACACTGATCAATAAAAATATTTTTTCCTATATATAGTATATATTGATATTTAAATTTAATTTAGATTATTGATTAGATCAGCTGTTCCCTTAGTTTGAACATGCACAGTCATTACTGTGTACCACCACCAGGGGGAGTGGATGTTTTGACACACTGCAGATAAACTGACAAGAGGGCTCAGCCGACATTTCCATAGCGGCTCTCACAACTATCTCATCTGCACCGCTCCAATTATCAATTCAGCACGCCAAGACAACGCAGTTTACTGTACGTCAGCCCAACAACTTTAGGGCCATATTCATATTATGGTCAGATGAGACAGAGAGAACATTCAGCCGCAGTATTTATTGGACCAATCTTTCAGTCCAGTGTATAAATCAGCCACGTGATACCTATACAAATGCAGTTATATGATGAGCATGATGCATCGTACAGCACATGTAGCTATAGGTGATTGTGGTGGTGTGATAGGGCTCTAAATCTCTTAAGCAGCTATGTGCAGTAATCATGAGATGTGACTCCCTGGAGATGGCAGCCTGTTTCATTACCATGTTGAACACCTCGAGATTGTTGGCAGCCATAAGTCGAGGAATATGAATCATCACCTCATATTATATTACTATTCCTCTCTCTGACTCTCTGCTGTACTGTGAGAGCAGCTCCAGCTAATTTGCAAATATTGTGAGAACTGATTATGCCTCTCAGATAATGTTCATCAACCACTGCACTCTGCAAATGTGCAACCTTCTCGTCTTGCATGGTGGAGTCATACTGTTTTCCCACAGATAACTGAATGATGTTATGAATTACTCCCAAGACGCAAATAAAGTGAACTTGAGGCCTAAATATACTGCAGGTCTAATTACTGGTCTGGGTTAGATCATTTGATATCATGCAAAATTTGATTGTCCTACTACATGTACTGGAGAATTACAAGGGATCACATTTAATTGTTAATGGTACACTAAATTAGGCCTGTCACTATAAAATCTTATTATGTACAATATCGCTACAGAGATAAATGATAATATTGAAAGTACTTTATGCTGCTGGTATAATAACAATAATGCAAGATATTCCTCCTAAAACATTTTGAAATAAACAGTATCTTTAAAAAGGCCTGAGTTAATAAATACTAGAATGATCCAGTAATCAGCCATAGTAGTCACTTTTTCAACCCTCTGCAGTTCAAATATTTCATATTGTAACTAAAATAACAAAAATCTCTCCATTACCGCTAAGAAAATGCACACATGATAAATACTGATCCCCAAAATCTATTGTCTCATCATATATTTCATATCTTGAATGATAAGTCGATATAGTAATAATGGTGCCAAGCCTACAATGAATATTTAACCAACTTTCTTTTTTGATGGGTTGCCTTTTTCAGTGTGACAGATCTGTATGGGAACATACAGTGAGTTTCTGGTTTCACAAATATCATATTGCAGTCACTTGATATTGAGCAGTATGGGGAAAATGTGAACTCATTATTCTCAGATATCATGACTCAGTTACATTTGACTTTGGAAAATATAGATTATCCATATGCACATTTGAGGCACAGAACTTCTCAGAAATACAGAGCCCCTTACTTGTGTTAACTTTCAATTTAGAGGAAGACGTGATTGTCATTCTATTTTCATGTCTAATGAGATCAATGTCTTTACTGCGGCGGTCTGACAGGCGGAGGCAGCACGTCAAATAAAACCTTAACTCAAACAAAAAAGGAATTACCAACACAATAGATGTCACTTTTTCATTTATTTTTTAACGTTCATTTCAATGATTTTAAGCAATTTTAAGGTCTCTGAAAAAGCATCTCACAACTGTTAATCAGTGTTTCATTCAAGCTGCTATGGAGATTGGTTCACATTAGATCGCATTGACATTCATACATTTTTAAGTCTCAGTAGTAGAAATATGTTCAATTATGACACTTTATTGATATGTTTCTATTTTATCTTCAAAATATAAAAAGATAAATTATGAACATTCCATTGAAATATACTTTATACAGTTCTAAGTTTGTTCTTTGTGTTGTCCAACATTTCAAAAACAAAATCCGGCAGAAAATACAACCAGATACTCCAGTGACCACCTCCTCTTCCCATTTACTGTCCTACTAAGATTGACATACAATAGACTAGTTCCTAAGTCTGTTTTAAATCCTGTCTGGGCAGTAAAATTAATCTTTGGAATGGCTACAGAAGGTGAATATTATGTGTACTACTAGAGACATGTCGCATTATATATCACATTATCATTTAAGTAGGTTTAATATACAGTATTAAAATCTATTTAGAATAATAGCATTTCCTTTAAAACAATTCTGCTCTTATCACTTTAAAATAAAGTTATTTCTGATTGCTAAATTACTCTATGGTAAGCCATAAAGCCACTAAACATTTGTAACTGATGACAGAGCGTCTGTGTCTCAGGGAGCATACAGTGAGTGTCCATCAGTGGCATTGTGGTGCAGATTGCATACAGTGTCCGCTTGAACAAAACAAAAGGACAACATAAATAAACATAAATAAAATGCATATGAATAAGCATTATCCCAGGGCAGTGCCACATCTTTTATACACTTGTCATACCATTATGTTGCATTGGCAGTATTTAACATGTAAAGAATTGCTTCTTTTGGTTATGTAACATTAGAAAGATTGGTAGTGTTTTACAAAAACAGACTTAGCGATCCAAACATTGTAACTCCTCCTAATCAACATGACAAAATGAGGCAGTATTATTTGAAATAAACTTAAGACATCTATTTTGCCTTACAATGAGACAAGAAATTAGAAAATGAACTGTAAAAAGTGAGTGACAAAAATACCTCTGCAAGTGTGCACACAATATTTATGAGCGTCTTTGTGGCTATCCAAATAAAACCCACTAAATGCCTTAAATGTGACCTACACTTGAAATTTCCACTGACTTTTTGTAAATTGTGAAAGTTCTAGACCCTGTTCTACCAGTTTAGACTGAAACTGTAACATCTGTGATCTATGTTGCCCTGTTAGGTCTCAAACAAATGAGATTCCATTTGCAAAGTAAGAGGAATGGACAACCATTCAGCTGCCTGAGCTGAACCCTGGACCAGCAGGGCCGAAACTCATGGGAAACCCAACTGTGGACTAGATGCAGAGGAGCGCTCAACAAGGAGATATATAAGATGTGATTTTCTTCTTGATCTTTCTGTGTGGACACTGGCATCTCATCCTCGCACTTGAAAGACTAAACTGACATCATTTTGGAAGCTCTGGGTTTCTTTGATTGGTGCTATGAGTCATGTGCTGTTATGAGCTGCCTACAAACCAACTGGATGACGCCATGAGTTATGATGCAAGACCTGACCATCTAAAAACAAAGACAAGCTATCGCTACGCACTCATGCTGACACTGCAAGTGTGAGTAGTTTTCAGTTGCCTCTCAAAGGAAGACATTGCTCTACACCACGGCACAGTGTTTCAAAGTTATCAGGACTGGGTTCATGACATACAATGGTAGGAGCCTAAGGGGATATGTCAAGACTCTGTTCCCCTCTTGAGAGATTATCAAGTCATAAAGCATGCGTTTACACATCACTGTGAGGTGTTCACATTATTGTTGTTATATACTAGGATTTAATATGTTAGAAATAAAATAGCGAAACACCTACATACACGCATACTGTCTGCACACCTGAGTCCTTTATCCCACATGTAGACTTACTTTGGAATGGCAGTTGTTTTCATGCAAAACCTCTCAGCTTTTCAACACCATATCTGCAATCAATGTTTTTGAGGTTTATTTTCCCATTTTCAAACTGAAGAGTGAATCAGAACAGCCTATAAAGCAAGCTCCTTCACTGGGACATTCTAAACCTGTATACATTACTTAACAGTGAGGCATTGATGATATGAAATCCAAAGGTTCTCCATTTGCC